ATAGAATAAGATCCTCTCTATTTGCGGTTCGCGCACAGAACTAACTGGACTTTTGCACTTCTGCTGCCGCTGAATCCTATCCAAAGTTGATCACAGCAAAGATACCTAACAAGGCCCAATCCGGAACCTTTCTTCGTCGATTTTATGATGTAGTTGGGGTTGGATAGGTACAATACGGTAATATACGTTACACGTTTGAGTACCTACATTACTCTGCTCCTCTGTATGTCGATTGAAGTACATACATGCTGCATAGTACATCTTGTATGTGGAAGCCGCAAGCGTACATACCTGCTGTTAGTACCTCTATAAACGTGCTGCATACCTCCTGTACATGTAGGTATTCCGCTACCTCTGCATTGGCGTGGATGCCATATGGGATGGCGTACATGGTACATAAAGTTAACTTCAGTCACTTTCAACTGCAGCCACGGGGCGCTCCCATGTCGTACTCCACCATCCATGCACATGTGCATAGGTAGACAATCCCTGCTCAACTTCCCTCACGTGTGCCCGGTACATGGCTAGCCACGAGGAAAAAGAAACGATGAGCGGCTCATTAGTGACACGCTAGCGTAGAATCTATAGCACAGCATGTATCATATACTCTCGGTCGAGGTATCCTTCGCTAGCGATATTCCTGGAAATAGCCATGCGACAAATCCTTAGCCAGAAGGCCAGCTGCTGCATCGTCTCATCGTCTAAACGCCATGGACAAACCTTCCTACATACACGTACATACCACGCTACACTAAGCGTACATTCGTCTGGTACATACATGCAGTCCATACGTCTGTCAGATATTCCGATACATCTATAACGTACGTGTGGCTTTGCTCGTGCTGCCGTTAATGTCTCTTACACATGGATGCAAGTTGACCCTACATCTCGAGATGTATCTACGAAAGGCAGGTAGGTAGGTATCTACTCATACATCTACGTACCTAACATACCTACATTTATAGTACCTACACGCTTACATACATACACGGACACTTACATGGAGGTAGCGTGCTAAGTATGCATTGGGAAATACATAGGAATGGCCATCCTCTCGGCTCTTTTTTTCGACCTGCCATTTCTCTTGCAGTTCCTCCACAGCAACACGCGCAGGGCCTCCCTCCTTCGATCCCAGCAAGGGGGGGATCCTCTTTTTTTTTTTTCCCATCCTCCATTTTTATTTGGGCTTTCAATTCTCTGAGAAAGCGCTTCCCCCGTCCCCGTCCCTCCTCCTTCCAGAGGGAACTACCCCCCGTTACACGGCACTACACTGGCACTTAGGTACATACGCTTGAAAGATAGGTACCTACGTACACTTATCATCCTTTGTATGTACACTTTGTATGTGCAAGAGCCCTTGTGCTGACGGGAACTACCTACTCGAACTGGGGGGTTCTTTATCCTCTCTTTACTCTTGGGACATTCATCCATAACTTGTCAAAATCTCCTCTTTACCCTTTTTTTACTATACTCCTCCCAACGTTTAAGTTCAACCACCCAATAGTCGTTTCCTAATGCGCATCGTTATTTTATGGTAGTGCTGTATTCGCGTGCCGAGACCAACGACACGTTCCTGACGCTTCTTGACCTGTCGTTCTACACAGTTCCCTGTCGGCTTTACTACCTACCTACATTACCTACCTACATACATACCTACTAACCTACCTACCTACCTCTACTACTACTTGGTTACTACTACCACCTACTCGCTACTATATTTTATTACTTCTTCTACCATTTACTACTACTACATACTTCTACTAGCTAGCTTCCGTCCCACTTTCCGACCTCCGCTCTCTGCTTTTTTCTTCTTCTCTTTCCTACCAAAGGACCAAGCATCAAGGACCAAGCTCGAGCTCAAGCTTTTACCGGACCAGTTGCGCTTAATTACGATTGGTTATTTAGCGTCAATGCTGATCAGACCCCGTTCACCAATGTAAACCGATGTCGAGCGCTGCCGCGTCCCAAGTCTATCCGTCCATCTGATAACTTAGTTCGGGTGACTTTAGTCTAAAGCACCAACTTATACCGCGACGCTGCACCCGCACGTCTTTGCATCCTCGTTAGGTGGCCCCAGTGCTCACCTACTGGGCATCTCATTAAAGCTGCTACTTAGCCCCTCGATAGTCTTTTTTACCTTCTTTCCCCCTTCATAGAAATTCAATTCAAACTTCGCAAGCATGGCGGCAGATCAGTCTCGACCTGTGTCGCAGAAAATCCCAGCCACATTGGCTACGGTGTTGAATGCCCCCGAGGATAATCGCGACTCAGCCTATTATTCAAGCACAGATACCTCTAGCAAGCGTATGTAATTACTATAGTAAACCTCTAGCCGAAAGTTTAGTATTAGCATTGCTAACTGCTGGAACCCCTATAGATACTTCTGCAGCCTCGGGCATAGGTATCAATGTATACCACTCCGTTCATGACAAGACTCCTTCTCCGACCACCACGAACCTGGCCCCCCAGTCAATCATAACTCCCGCGAGTAACATGAGTGTGGCGTCGATGGTATCGCCGACGACACCAGGTAGTGGACGTTTCGACCGGCCGCAGTCTTTCGATTCTATACCCGGCGGCATGTCTTTGGGTGCAGCAAGTGTCGGGCCGGATTCACGACGGGAGAGTGTTGATAGCAGAATCAACCAGGGTTTTGGTGATTTGAGGTTGAGTGGTTCCCCTTACGCGAGTCAGAACCACTCTACGACTTCGTTTCATGGAAGTTTGGTGCAACAACGCAACTCCCGTGCGGGAATGGACCACCTGGCGGTGCACAGGATATCTAATGGATACCAGCCGAATGTCGAACGCACACCTAACGATCAACACCCAAAAGCAACTAAAACCGCACCGGCTATCACTGGTCCTGCTACAAGCACGATTGCTAGGGCAGCGGAACCAACTAAAGGCCAAGCTTGGGCATTCCCGGAGGAGGAGATTCAGCGCATGCCATCCACGGTTGGTAACCATACCTTTTTTGATTCTAGGAGAAGTAGTATCTCGGAGTCGATTGCGAGCAGCCAATTTACGACCGAATCTCGGTTACCACCCGGGCAGCGCCGTCTCGACGATGGTATAGCTCCAGATTTCCAAACGATTCACCACCACACGCTTCAGCACAAGCAACTCTCGGATCTTCATAGTGAAGAGTCTAGCCCGCATAGTGGCAATCAGCCGTATAGTCGGACACCTGAGCTTCGGCAAAGTCACAAGCTAGCGGAACGGAAGCGGAGAACAGAGATGAAGGAATTGTTTGACCAGCTTCGCGATTTGATGCCACAGGAACGAGGGTCGAAAGCATCCAAGTGGGAGATTCTAACAAAAGGTATGCAGCTGTCACTTAAGCATTGGCGCACGTACTAACTGCTATTTAGCTATTGCCGAGCATCAGAAACAGAGCGAAACTCTCAAGAGTGTTCAGAGTCATTTCCAAGCCGTCATGCAAGAAACGGAAATGTTGCGTCGTGAAGTCGATAGGCTGCGCATGGAGAACGCGCAGCTTCGAGGAAGTATTCCGATACCGCCAGGCCAAGGCCCGCCGAATACTGCGATGCCGTCGCAACCGTCCGCGGATCCATACGGCCAGGACCCGTACGGCAGAGTCCCTCGCCCGGAGCTCCCGCCCTTACGAGCTTTAAGTAACAACATTCCTAGCAATCCAGATTCCATGACAGGTGTACAATACGATTCTCAAAGGCCACCTAACGGATATCGCTCAGATCCTCACCAAGATCCTCGTCAAAACCGGTTCCAATAGCCGTCATTACTATCATTCACATTTCCTTTTGTTGTCGTTGTAAACATATCATATCGGGGAGCGGCAGTTATCAAAACTAGACTTGCAGCGCTTTTTCATCGATACACCGTATAAGCAAACGGTTATTCCCCATCGATGAGCACCTCGGAACTTAAGGCGCGGATGAACTTGGTACAAAGGATATCATGTCGGAATAAGGATACTGCCTAGTTTTGTTATTTTGGCGTTGGTGGTACTGAAGCGGGTGGCTATTCGATCCCTTCAGACTCGCTGATGATGTCAAGGTGTGGATTGATGCTAGTCATCCCTAAATCGCTAGCCTAGAGCGACGCTCTGCTCTTCACCTATAGAAAAGGGGGAATGTGCGAAATTTTATTTTCAAGCAGCGGATGGACTACTTGGCTGCAGATATCGACGTTTAGCCGGTACTTGCTCGAGTGCCGGCCTTCGAGATATCGTTCACGGTTTCATCGCTGCTCATGTTGAGCTTATTGGAGTGTATATACACATATACCCGCCGTTCTGTTGCTCGGCTAATTTTATGTCATGGGTTTGGGGCACTAAATTCACGATTGGTGAATACCTACGAGGATATATTCGGGATGGGCATGGAAGGATACAGTAGGAGAGGCTAAAAAAAGGGCTTTGGGGTTGTGGTGGGAGTTAGAATGGCGTGTAACGATCCTTTGAAACCGGGATCACCTACCCAAGCAACACGGGTCAAATAGACCGTAGTTCGGACGGCGAAGATATGATACAGCCTCATGTCTAAGATTTTATGTCGGTCTGGAAACGAGTTTGATGGTATGCTGGCTGCTTATAACTCGTGTTTCTATAACGGGCTTGCCTTTGTTATGATAGCCTAAGACGACTCACGCTTAAGAGGCCGACTTGTAATAGAACGAAAACTACGAGTAGGTAGGTTCGATCCTACACGCAAGTTCGAATCAGATCATTTACATTATTCAGCTTCAAGTTAAAATATTTGGATATATCAACATAGATATATATCCCTCTTTAAGTGCCTAGGTACTCGATTCAAGAGAATTGTTTGGATAAATACATATAGAGCACATGCACCTACATGTAGGCAATTTAGTAGGTTACTAGGGTACCTAACTAAGGCTAGCTACACTAGATTCAATTACCTAATACACTAGTGGCGTGCTCCGTAAGAGTTGTGTGGGTTTGGATAAGCAGATAAGGTACACACTATGTGGGCATTCCCTTAGTGGAGCGAAATTTTTTCTTCATCCAAAGTTTTTTTTAAGGGTCCTACAAGTTAAAATCTTCCCTTACATCTTGCAACTTCACATCTAAATTATTCGAAGGAGCATTTCTTTATTTCAAAAGACTCTATCACTAAAATGTATGAACCTGGCCCTTTTTTATTGAAAGCGAGAGATCAATTGGAGCTAATTGTTTGATTCAATAGGCATTCCCTTCGACGCGCAGCTGCTAGAGCAGCATGCTCTTCAGCCTTTGCCGTCGCTGCCCCGCGCCAGCAGATTGCTTCTTTTGCCATGCAGATTTGCAAGGCGAATGCGCAGCCGGCTACCATCATGCCTCTAGCTCGTTATTTCTCCCAGACATCGCGGGTGGCCCAAGATGAGGGTGATCGGGCTGCTGTAGAAGAGGCTATTGAATCTGCTGGACGGACCGGTTCTACGGCCAACGATCCGGAGGACCTTTCCAATAAGATCTTTATCAGGAACCTTCCCTACGAGGCCACAGATGATCTTATCAAGGAGGCGTTTAACAAGTATGGAGAGATCATAGATTTCCGCCTAGGCCGTGACCCCTCAGGCGCCAGTAAAGGGTACGTGGATACATTGATTCATACAATTCTTACTCTCCAGTTATCGATTGTGTGTGTTAATAGGGTTTTAGCTACGGTTTCATTACCTTCTCAACCGCTGAAGCAGCAACCCGCGCCATTGAGGAAGCAGACAACTCGTTTTGGCAAGGTCGTCGCCTCTTTGTTCAGCCCAGGACGTCGCCTACTACTGCGCGACCTGTATCAAAGGCTCCGGAAGAGCCGACAACCTCGTTATACATCGGTAACATTCCATACGAAACGTCCGATGCCGATCTGAACAACATCTTCCGGGATCTGGACGACGTTGTCAATGTGCGCGTAGCTGTGGACCGCAATACTGGCTGGCCTCGCGGTTTTGCCCATGCTGATTTCAAGACCCTGGAGAGCGCACAAAAGGCATTCGATAAGCTCCAGGGCTTTCAGCTAGGAGAGCGCACTCTACGCGTTGACTTCGCAAGCACTCGAACTGAAAAACCTCGATCCACCTCAAACCGAGACCCGCGCAGATAAGCGGGTTTCGATAGGTGCGATGCTTTTGCCTTCGGATTGATGGCTATAATCTCATATTCCGGAAAAGACTATCGGTTGGACGATGGGTTATGTGAGATGTGACCAGGAAGGCGTCATGACAGATGAGAGGTTCGAGGTGACATGGATCAGGCCTTACCAGCAGCTTTTCATCTATCAAATGGAAAGAAAGCTATTGTATGTAACAACATAAGTTCAAGTTCTTTTAAGAAGAACTGCCTCTATCAAATATCGGTAGTTAGCACGAAACTGGGGTTCATAGGGAACTGAATGTACTAAAAAAAAAACTTCTCTCTGATACTTGTGCGTTTCATGTGACACAGTAAATACCTACAGGCAAGTTACCTATCAGTCTCAATCGAAAATTGACGGCCGGGTCTTGGCATTCTGAATTGCGACTGCCTATGTATGGGCATTTTGCAAGCTCAAAGTTTTCCGTGAAGCTAGCGCTATACCGGTTTGCACGGACCACCTATTACTACGCTAGTTACAATCAAATGGAAGGTTACCACGAAGCTTTTGGTGGGGCAAACCAATTGACCTCGGCGGATGCCGTAGGTGTTACAGGTTCAGGTGGCTGGCCTCTGGCTTTCCTCGGCATCTTGGGCCAATTTAGGTACCTAACCTGCTAACCTACCATATGGAATACACTAGTTAGTGAGGTCACCTCGTTGTCAAAACGGCTTTGTAATAAAAGATTTACGATAAACCATTCCGCCCAAATTCACCCGTCTTTCACCTACATGTGAATATTCCTTCTTTTTCAAGCTTCGTTTTAAACTTTAAAACGTCTAAGCAATCATCTATACCATTTCCCCACGAATTCCCCACGTACGATAAATCCCTTAGGTACCTTACCTAGGTATTGTACCTAAGCCTAGTGCACTGAAGTTCCGCCACCTGTGCACCTTCCGACATCGAACTGATTCTAGTACCTATCGGCATTGTTTATTTACATCCTTCACTTCTAAACCTTCCATCGCCATTGCCCGTTACCCATTACCAAAGAAGCTATAACATAGTTTGGCGCATAGTTCTGTCCACAAATTTAATCCGTCAGATTGTACATAAAACACCCTTCCGACTTCCGACTTTCGACTTCCAACATGTCTTTCCTCGGTGGCGGGCCTGAGTGCTCGACGGCGGGCAACCCTCTTAGCCAGTTTGCGAAACATACCCAGGAAGACAACAGTCTGCAAAGAGACCGTATTAGAAATGGCACTCCTCAGGGTGGCATGGGCGGCTTTCGTAGTGCTGCACAACATGCCCCGCAAGATGAGGTACGAGTGTTAATCAATAACTACCTACCACGAGTGCACGAGCTAATAGTACATATCCATTAGATGATGAACGGCTTTCTGCAGCAGAATGGCCGATTACCCGACATGCCACTTGAGGGCATGAATCAGATACGATTAGATCACCCCTCGCACGGTGTTCACCTACGAGCGAACTCGACTTCACCAGCATGGGCAAACGAATTCCAGCAGAACCCCCAGGCAGCGATGGAATCCGCCTTCAAGGTCCCCCAGGGCACACAATTCACCCCCGAAGATTATGCCAAATTTCAGCACATGACAAGTCAAGTGAACTCATCCCGAGCGAGTCCCATGCCTTCAGCCATGCAGTATCAAACCCCGATGATGGGAATGGGGACGATGAACGGTATGGGCATGGGCTACGGTATGAATGGCGGCATGCCCATGTACCGCCCTATGCCACAACAGCAGTTCTCGCCGGAAGCAGTCCAAGATAAAGGGAAAGGAAAGGAAAAGGTAGTGGAACTAGATGATCAACAGTGGGAGGAGCAATTCAAGCAGCTCGAACTACAGGAGAAGGATGTTAAAGAAAAAGACGAGGCCGCCGCCCTGGAGCCCGAGCTCAATAAGCTAGACGAGCAAATTCTAGAGTCGGAAACGAACGAGTTCGGAGACTTCGAGTCTATCTGGAGAGGCATCCGAGCAGAGGAGGCGGCCGCTAAGGAAGCTATCAATGAGGAAGAATGGGTTGAGCAGTTGGGTGATCCTGACTGGGCCGATCGCTTTGGAGACTGGGGTATGCCTGGCGCCAATAGCAGGTTAATGGCTGACCCCGAAGTAGAGAACTATCTCTTCGAAGAGGAGAATCTGTTTAAGGACACGGCAAACCCGTTTGAGGAGGGTATGCGGATCGTCGACGAGGGTGGCAATCTATCGTTAGCCTCTCTAGCTTTCGAGGCCGCCGTTCAAAAGGATCCGAAACACGTGGATGCGTGGGTCCAGCTCGGTATGGCTCAGGCGCAAAACGAGAAGGAGACGGCAGCTATCCGGGCATTAGAGCAAGCTAAGAACCTCGACCCGAATAACTCGGCCGCACTCATGACCCTGGCGGTTTCTTATACAAACGAAGGCTACGATAGCATAGCTTACCGGACACTAGAGCGATGGCTATCCACCAGATACCCTTCCGTCATCTCACCTGAAGACCTCTCCTCCGCGGCTGATATGGGCTTCACAGAGCGCCATCAGCTTCACGACCGGGTTACACAGCTCTTCATCAAGGCCGCGCGGCTCAGCCCAGACGGCGAACACATGGATCCGGACGTGCAAGTGGGTCTAGGCGTACTATTCTATGGTGCTGAAGAGTACGACAAAGCCGTGGACTGCTTCTCGGCGGCGTTGGCGTCATCCGAGCTTGGGGCGTCTAACCGGCAAAACCAGGTGCATTTGTTGTGGAACCGTCTAGGGGCAACGCTGGCTAATAGCGGCAAGAGCGAGGACGCGATCGCGGCGTACGAGAAAGCCTTAACATTGAAACCTAACTTCGTGCGCGCGCGGTACAACCTCGGTGTCAGCTGCATTAACATGGGGTGCCATGCGGAGGCGGCGGGCCACTTGCTGGCGGCGCTCAGCATGCACAAGACGGTGGAGAAGGAGGGCCGCGAGAAGGCCCGCGAGCTTTTGGGCGGCGGTGTCAGCGATGCACAGCTCGACGCAATGACCACCCAGAACCGAAGCACTAATTTGTACGACACTCTGCGCCGCGTCTTTACGCAGATGGGCCGCAGGGATCTTGCCGAGAAGGTTCTACCTGGTGTCGATCCCGAGACGTTCCGTGGCGATATCGACTTCTAAAGAGGCCACTCACGGTAGAAATGGTTGTAGGCTGATAAATTTCGAGAATGAGAGGGCGAAATACGATATAATGAAAACAAAAAAAATTGGAGGAAAGGGGGTTGGCGGCAGGGATAACGAAGTTGCATGACCTCGCGTGCTCTGGATGCTAGGAAACGCCAGAGTATTTGGTATCAGAAATTAAGGCCAGAATAGTTGAGTGAAAAGGCTGCCGAGGTTTAGATGACTAGCCACCTACCAAACTATAGGGTTTAATATGCGACAAGTGTGAATTTACATCAGAAGACATTCGCTCTCAACGGGATGTCTTTTATGAACGTGTTGAAAATAGGATAGGATGGGTAGTTAGTGTTAGTGTATATGTTCAACTCGTGAATTTTATGGGAACGACTACCTACCTAGGTACCTAGGTAGTGTACGCCAATGCTAAAAAGACCCGTTCTATACGTTAACAATGCATTCATTCATCCGTATTAGACTGGTTTGACTTTTATGACCATGAATATACGATAAGAGGCTTATTATCAAAAGACGGCGAAGTAAGGGGCTAACTATTCTAGAAGAAGAAGCTACCTAACTTTATATGATTATCTCCACGTGGAGATTTAAAGACATCTTCAATACCTAGGAATGTCTTGCCCAGCTTCCATTCTATCCATTCTAGAAATTTGTTTATATGTGCCAACCAAGTAATAGACACTATGATGATTGCTTCACAACATACTCAAGATTAATATTTCGTTGGAATGTACACATGTATGCCGTCCTCTTGAGCTAGCTTATAGCGGCATGATCTACGTTACTCAGTACATAGATGTTAGGAAAAGAGGAGCATAGAATACTAGTAGTTGATATCTCCATCTACTCGTATACTCCCGTCGTTGGAAGCATACTTTAGTTTGAAACATAGGTAATCTTTAAAACGTCACAACTATCTCGCATGCTTATTTTCCTATTGGACCATGCGAGTTCCCGCACGGAAATCTTAGATCAGATATGCAAGTGGAGAAGGACGGCCTTGGCGGACATGCCCTTAACAATCGAGCGTCCTCCCAGTATCGAGATCTTAGTTTAACTGAACGATCTGAATCTCATTGAGCACTAGCAGATGGATCTTATCACGACTATGCGACGGAAACTACCTGTCGCTAAGAAGATTATACATTGATCTGGGATACTCTACGTATACAACGAAGTAGTCCCAAAACGCTTCATACGTCGAAATCCCTTTAATCGCAACAGCTCTTAAATCATATGCTTCCTTCCATTAAGCCTCAACTGCCAGTGCATGGCATTGTACGAGAGGCGAAAAGCGTATTTGTACAACGAAAACGTCCGAACCGGGAGAATCATACTGCTCTTGATGAATAGAACGAGACATATCATGCGCTTACACGAAAAGCGCACCAACTGCGAGAAGCATCGGGGCCACAAACGGAGCCACCGTCTGAGCGGCATTCGTGTTGGGCACGGGTGTCTCGGAGGTAGCAGACGAGGTCTTGGCTGCAGAAGAAGCTACAACATATCAGCTCACCAAATCTAATAGATACATATATATGCTTGACTTACTGGAACTAGCACGGGTGCTAGACGAGGTGATAGAACCACTGCTAGTGCTGGAACCACTGCTGGTGCTGGAACCACTGCTAGTGCTAGTAGTGAAGCTAGAAGACCCAGACGACGTGCTAGAACTAGTAGGAGTCGAAGAAGTTCCACTGCTAGTGACGGTGGCGCTGCTAGAGGCAACAGTCGACGAGACAGCCGAAGACGTGCTAGTCTGCGAGGCCGTGGTGCTAACCGAACTGCTGCTAGCAGAGCCGCCTGAAATCTCGAACTGCTGGCTGTAGTTCACCTCGGTGCCGTCGTTGATCTCGAGGGCGTAAGTTCCAGAAGGCAGCGAGGTAGAAGGGACCCAAGTGTAACTCGTGCCAGTCTGGCCAGCTGTGTACCGTTAGCAAATGAGTCCAGTGAGTAGGCCATCAAGTTTTATAAGACTTACAGGTAAGCTCAGAGACTGTCTTGAGGTTGTCAGAGGGGCCATCCTTCAAGGTAAGAGAAACGGGGCCAGCAGCATCGGACCAGGTGATCTCGAAAGGCTTGCCAGTCTCGATGTCGTTGAAGTTGCTGTTGGTGATGGCGACCGCACTAACCCAGGCCGGGAGTACGGCGAGGACGGTAGTGATGAAAGAGGCCTTCATTTTGTCTCGTGGTAGAAAGTATTAAAGTATTTAATGAGTGACGAGATGATCTGTGGAAGGACGAGGACAATGTCAGTAGAGCTCACACGATAATAATTATGTTGCCTGCCGACAACGATAGCTGATGTTATCCGCAGAGACGTTAGATGACTTTAAGTGGTTCAGTCCCATAAACAGTAACCTTCCACTTGCGGATTGGGATCTTAGAAGATCGTTGCGACGTAGCGGGCTAGCAGATAGAAGTGGGTTGTCTGAGGTTTCTCTCGCGGGTTATATAGCATAAAACAAATCGCAAACTTACCAATGTTGTTGTAATTAGAAAAGTGTACGCGAAAAGGCGACAAGAGAACTGAATTTGGATAATGAGCGTGTAAAGGTTGAAAAAGGAATGGAAGCTCAGGTGAGCAGCTGGCACGAAAGAAAAAGAGAAGGCTCTTGTGGCTCTTGTCCAACTTGTGCGCGCCAGCAGGCCAGGAAAGTGCAAGGCCGCATCCCCGGGGAAATTGGCAACCGCAAATTTACGAGATTAACTTGCAAGAGCACACCTACTTTAGAAGCCAGGAACGGCTAAAATCCCATTTGACTAATCCCAATTTGGCTTAATCATCACAAACTTGCCTAGAAATATGCAATTAGGCAACCTTTCCAATCTTCACCGGGGCCATGTGCCTTTCCTTTTCGAGGAAAAAGCTAATCTTGGTCGGGCATTGCGTTGTATTATAGATCAACTCCGGCCAATTATCTCCGCCCATTAAGCCTGGGACCTTACGTAGACCTAGTTGAGGCCATTATTGCAGCTGCCACCAATGTTTGCCCTATTGCATCCTAGTAACCTGATCAGGTCTAGGAGACCGACTTTCTTTCTCTCCCAAGATTCTCTTTCCCAACTTGAGGCATGCCGAATATAATTAGCTATGCCGATTACATACCTAACCTAAGTCGACTCGAATTATATAAACACATGCAGTAAAAATGCTGCGTATGCCAAGATCAGGGCATGACGTGCAGCCTCGATACACAACCAGGGGCTTGTACGCTAGCACGACGTATTATGCGCCTATGAAAAATGTCAGATGATTTCATTCGGCAGTTCGTATTACCAGCCCTCTACATACCGTAGGGTATTTAGAGCCTCATTAGGGTAGCTACCTCTACATGTAGGAAGGGCATTAAACATATGCGATATCTTTTTAACTCGTTTACATTTAGGTTTTAAAGCAGGAATCTGCAAACATTGGCCTATCTAACGAAGTCTGCTGATAAGGGAAAACTGCATGCATTGACAATGAAGGTACAATACAAGTCCGGTTCCCAGCAGGATCTCGACCCGTGCTGCCGTGCAGCCGTCTGTATAACCTAAAGCGGACGTGTGGGGCCGCGCAATCTCGCCAAATCCACGCTACATATGTCTAGGCTGTCAGTCTTAGGTGATTAGTTTCCTGCATTAGAGGACCCAATTGGATCTAATTTACAGGGGGTGCTCCCGGTCAGAACCCTCCTTGCAGCTTCCCCAGGTACAATACCCCCATATGCAATTTAGGGGGTTTCTCGGTTACCATAACCCATCACTCCCGAATCTGTGAATGACCTTGGAAGGTGCCCCTTATTAACGTCCACACTCTCTCAACGCGCGTAGCATGATTTTCTACGGAATACGAGTCTCACAATTGAGAAAAGGCTCAGCTAAAACCTAATCAATAATATGGACCCTGGTAGATTGTCTACACCAGACGTTTCATTTTCGTCGTATTGCCTTTCGGAAGACAATATGTTGCTGACTAGTTTGCCCTCCTTGGCCATATAGATATAACAAGAATCAGACTGATATAACAAGAATAAGATAGTGCCTTGCTAGTACCGGCATTTTCGCTGAAGATCAGCTTGGTTTTGGGTTTGCTATCCACAAGCTGTGGTTCCAGCAGGCAAAATCAGAAGGTCGGGAAGTTAAAACACAATGCCAGCCCTTAACTACCTAATCCATTAACTCAACTAAGTATAAGGTTGCGGCTACGGAAGTCGACTCATGCATTAACCTCGATAGTTGATTTCTAACATGGAAACAGCAGTTTCATGACCCCAGGATACACTCTGGGTAGTCGAGCTAGGCGACTCGGATTAGAACTCGCACCTGACGCTTCCTAAAGCTACAGTCCGTTGCTATCGCAGATTTACCCAGGGCCTTGGATAGCTAGGATCAATGTTTTAAGGAAGGCTACAACGAACAACACCACGACGGACGCCTTCCGTCTCTTCTCGGAGCTCTTCAACGTTGGCACCCATCTCTCGGGTCTTAGTGACGAAGTCGTCTAACGAGCCGCCCACACCGAAGTAGAGCTTTTTGGCACCGACTAGTGCTTCGGCCGCATTACCGTGCGCCTTTTCCTCCTTGAGCAGAGAGAATATTGTCTGCGTAAATGCGCTGAGAGCAAAAGGGGAATAAATGGTCTCTGCACCAAGTATAATTGTCCGCTGGCCGGATTTGTTCCCTATTTTGGAAGCTTTATCGGAGTTCAAGAGTTCAATAAACTCCGTAGACCAGGCGCCGGAAAAGAAAGAAAGAGAGATCTTGCGAGCTGTCAGGAATTCATCGAATGCTTTAAGAACTTCTGGCATCAGATCGAGCTCCCCCTCCGATGAGAAGGCGCTTTCTAGCAGAGGCGAATCTGCTCGTTGATGAAGAGCCCAGCTTAAGATAAAGTTGGGCAGTGTTACGAGCTGTAGGACAGTTGGATTATAGTCGGCCAAGACTATGGAGAGAGCAGAGCTTTTCTCGGGCGCCCGAAGAGTGAGGCTCCACTGGAAGAGCGCCAACGAGGGGAGAGCCGTGCCGCAACCGAGCTAGAAATGTCTAGTTGGTTATTCTGCGGTATTTGCTAATTACGACCGAGAAGACTTACCTCGATCAACCTCGGGATCGTGTCTATGTCAGAAAGGAAGGATTTCGACAGCGAGAGGACCTTGACGAGATCCACGCTACTCTCCCAGGATTTAAATCCGCCTTCGTAGACTCCGGTCTTCACATCATGATTGCCCAGTCCGGGTTCTGTATCACCTCCGTCATCTTCGGCCATGAGCTGAACTCGGACATCCCATAGCTCTCGGCGGGGTAGCTGAATCTTCCCAGCACCATCTAGATCAATATCTAAGATGCCATAAGCAATTTTTGACGGTAGCTGAGAAAGCATCTGGTGTAAGTCATGACTGGTGGCAGGGAGTAAAGGTTTTCCTGGTACGGGAAATGCACTAGCCGACGCCTGCGGCTGCGCAGATTCGCTGACCTGTGGGCCTGCAGAGTTTGACTCTCCGTCATCCTCTATATCATCGCCGGAAAATCCAAAAGAAAATTGTCCAGACATATCGAGAAGGTGCACGAGTTAGTTGGATCTCAGCCTCCTTATCATATATCTGACACTGTAGGGTGAGGCGAGTAGACACTTTAACACTATCTAAGGTTTGAATATGTACAATTAAAAGTGCGTTTTCAGACCCTTGAAAACGAGATACAGACAGGTGGGTATGTACATGTACAATACACTGCGTGCGATTAGTTAGGGTACAATAGTACTTCGTACATACCTAAAGCTGGACAGTAATGCTGTAATTGACCAATTGATCGCTAACCAGATCAAACTCAATTTGAATATTTTATGGTAATCCCGAGCTTACACTTACTTACACTTATTACTTACCTTGCATTCCGAGCCGTATATGTGTATTATACGACCATGGTTTCTTACGTCAACATTTTCGCACATACAATGCACACATGAGGCATTGAGCTTTATCGTGATCATTGGTCAAACCACACAAAACGGTCGACATCTGCATTTCACATGTACCTCATATGCGGGTATGCATTCGAAAATTGGGTTCTTCCAGGGGACCTTGCTCCTTCACACTTCCTATGTATTGTGCCTGTAGATGCACGCCTCAGTGGGACAAATGTCTATCATTCCAAGTACAGTGCAGCACAGTTATAGGGCACAGTTGGTTATAGGAACGTGGAAGCCCCTCCACGAACAATGGGCGATTGGCTGAAATACGATACCAACGTCCAGCCCCATCCATGATAACCATGATAACCATGATAATCAAGCAAGACGACCTATCAGGCAACTCTTCATTGGCTTCCTAGTTAAAGAACTGGGCATGTCAATGCTAGCGTTGCTCTCAATTCGTCTTATTTCGTCTCGACTATCGTGGCGAACCAGTTCTGTTACAATGCAGTCCATTGAATGGACTGCTTTATCATTCGTATCCCGGCAGGGGGGATGGCTGTAAATAAATAATATATGACAGCCCGAGTTAGAGACGCAAACATGAGCCATATACGTAATGTGATGAGTCGAGGGGGGCAACAAATAGATTGCATTTCGAGTGAATAGCGGGCAGGTAACTCTCCTGACATAGGAAACCATTAAAAGAGAACTTCCTTCTCTGATGGTAGGCTAGGATACGCGGCTCCCTGTTACTCAACTTCCACATTTGCCCTTTCTAGAACTACAAGGTCTACGTATAGGATTTAGTTGGTCCTCTTACTTATATCCGCTTTCAGCTAAGCCCTCCATCACGCCAAGGGTACTAGATAATACGATTTTGCGTCTACTAGTTGGGTTTAATCAAGGTTCAAGTCCAAGTATAAAGCTTGTGTCTCCTTGGACACGAGAATATGAGAAATATTACGAAATTACAGCGTCGGATTTCTCGTCTTCTCGCCATCCCAAGCAGCATGACACGCCATAAAACCGACCGCAAAGATCCTCATGTGCCAGACTATGGGGAAAAGAGTATAAGCAACACCAAGGCTCCCGAGATTGTATCGAAGCCACCTTACACAATCCGGGAGGCACCCCTCGGAACTACTAAACATGTTAGGATCGTAGGTATCGGTGCGGGGGCCAGTGGCATAAATATGATACGGACCCTTAGGAGAAACATAGCCGACTACGAGTTCGTCACCTACGAAAAGAACGAGAAAGTCGGGGGAACTTGGTTCGAGAATCGTTATCCGGGATGTAGATGTGACGTACCAAGTCACAACTATCAGTTCTCATGGCGCCCAAATCCCGAATGGTCTAATTTCTTCGCGCCTGCCGAAGAGATTGAGCAATATCTAGACCTGGTATGCGAAGAAGAGGGTATGTCGGACGCGATCAAGACTCGACACAAGGTCGTGGGTGCTTGGTGGGATGAGGACCGTGGGCTTTGGGACCTGAGTGTTGTAGACCTTGAAACCGGCCAAGAGTTCAGAGACAATGCCAACTTCCTCATTAACGCATCAGGCATACTGAAGTAAGATAGACCATCGACCATAGGGCACATCACCTGGACAGAACGCACTGCTAATCAAGATACTCCAGTAACTGGAGATGGCCGGACATCCCGGGGATAAATAACTTCAAGGGAAACTTAATACATACTGCTAGCTGGCCTAAAGATTTCGACTATGCCAACAAGACTGTTGCTTTGATTGGAAATGGCTCGTCGGGTATTCAGTTGCTACCTACAATCCAGCCAGGTCAGTCGACCCCTATTCTGTTCGCTATTATATAAACTGACCTCGAGTAGGTGTCAAAAAGTTGTACCATTTTGTCCGTACTCCGACATGGATCATTCCCCCACGAATACTGTCGATGAAGGTGATGGGAGGGCCTGCTAAGGATATCCTTAGCGAGATAGAGCTCGACGAGAAGGAGAACTTTACGCAACAACAAATCGAGAGGTTCAAGTCGGACCCTGCCTTTTACCGTAAATTCATCAAAACAATCGAGAAAGATAGCAACGGCGCATTCGCACTCGTAAGGATCCATATATATCTACTTCCGGCTCCTCGATAACATTATCATTGATATTTTCGTATGCAGATCGTGAACGGCAGCCCGGCACAGAAGTTTGCAACGAGTAAGGTTGCCGAGTATATGAAGGCAGCGCTAGGGGGTGATGAGAGGCTCTGCAAGGCCTTGATCCCCCAATTTCCTCTGGGGTGCCGCAGAATCACGCCGGCACCAGGATATCTAGAAGCTCTCAGGGCCCCGAATATAGAAGTCATCATAGAAGGGATCGCCGCAGTTGTACCGGAAGGCATTCAACTCGAGTCGGGCGAAGTGATCAAGTTAGACGCCATAATTTGCGCCACAGGCTTCGATACTTCCTTCGTTCCGCGGTTCCCCATCGTCGGCAGGCATGGTAACGTCCAGGACGCGATGAAGATAGAGACGCCGAGAGGCTACATGTCGTGCGCACTTGCTGGCGTGCCTAATTACTTCAGTAAGTACTTGGTCCATAATGACCCTAACTTTAGGATTACCTACGTACCTCATCCTAACATATTCTTGAAGCCTTCCTTGGCCCCAACGGGCCTATAGGCCACGGTAGCGTATTCACCTTAAGCGAGCACATCGCTAGATACATCACTCGCATAATAGCAAAGTGTCAAAAAGAAGGCATCAAGGCAATCGTGCCATCAGACGCAGCAGTAGAAGACTACAGCCAACATGTGACGACCTTTATGCCGCGTACGGCATGGGCATCGCCAGGTAAATCGTGGTTCAAGGGCGGGACGGAAGACGGGCCCGTCACGGCTCTGCACCCAGGTAGCCGCGTGCACTTCTTCCACATGCTCGAACACTTCCGCGGCGAGGACTTCGACTACGTCTACGATAACCCCGCGCACGGCAACAGGTTTCACTACTTGGGCAACGGCTTCTCGGCTAGGGAGCTCGATCCTAACGCCGACTCGACGTGGTACTTGGAGAAGGATGTTGATGGGCCTGTATATACGTGAATATAGAAGACGGGGTATAGGGTTGTAGCGCGGTGTTGTGAGTAGGAGGTATGTTAGGTAGATAGATGCGCTTTTAGGCCCGGCGAATAATGTGGATGCGTGTTACGAGTTTTCTTCTGTCTCGAAATGAAATCAATATATACGATTTACGAGTCTTTTAATAGTAATACTCGTGTAAACAAATATATGGGTTCTTGATTCGATTCGTTGCCATTATGGATGATTTGCAGTGCTTTACGTAACTGGTCGGTCCTTCATCCTCAACACGAACCCCATACCGACTTGTCATATATTAACCTAGTCTTGTTCCAATCTTCTGCCTCGTGCTATTTTAAGCATACAATTTTACCAGATCTTACATAGTCCACTCCCGAGATTTTAGCATATCACTAATGTTTCATATTTTCCCGAGGGTATGGATCACTATTGAGCGTCGAGGCCGATTCGTTATTCTTTGGTCTCGGACCGACGGGTATTTGGCTTCGGATGCCTCTGTTGACGCTGGCGCTAGACTAGGGGCGCTTAATAAGTTCTTCTCTTCTGACCAACTACACGAGATGTTATAGTTTTGCATCTCGCAAACAAATAAATAAACATTAGGTACAATCACGTAAAGGATGTGATTCTTTGGCTGTAAGTTAATACCTCATGTTTCTTATTATTCTTATTTGTAAGGGAAATCTGACTACCTGTTGACACTGTATTGTACCGCCTTCGTAGGCGTACAAGTCTACTACCTGTATTTACCGTTCCGAGCTGTTTTCTAATACCGTAACCTAAGTTCACAATGGTCATAATTATCGCACTTTCGAGCATCATGATATGTGAACTGGGTGGTGATTGATTTAGATGCTATTCTTTTTCTCCGTTTGCTATAACTAGCAAATTTATAATATGGGTATAGTTCACCCCCGCTCTATTATGGTATAATACTGAGGGGTCAAGTAGAAGTAGGGCGCTTCGCAAAAAGCAATGAGGCTCTTCTCAACATCAGCATTAAAATCCAATATGGGTTAACAATTGATAGAACTTCACCTATGACCCCCTATCCCCCTATACGTAAAAGTATAACATGCATTTACCAAAGGCAGAAGCTGAAAGAAGCCGGAATATTTCGTCCGTCCTCGGGAACCCAACGAGGGTCGCAATGCGGGCCGAGGAAGGCTTCGAAGCCCCTTACCCACATCCCTCCTCTACCCGTCCATTCATACCACTCTACGTACCGCTGCTCAGCAGCCTCTAGTGTATGTACGCAAGGCGTTTTTCCAAGCGGCCGTCAAACTGGGCCGCCTAATGCCCAATCGACCCTTGGATGTCGTGTAGATTTTACTCGTTATGCACCAACGCTCGTGGGATCCCTGTGGGCGCTTAGCTGCCTATTGGACCGTTTGGGTCGCCCGCAGCTCGCCGGGCTGCTGCTGTGTCTCTAGCACCGCCCTCTGTCCACATGATCTTGCTGTATGTGTTCATGCAGCAGCAGCAGCAGCAGTCGGGCTGTGATGTGATGTGTCGTTTTGTCCTCGGCCGTAGTACATGTTATATATCAACCGCATGCCGGTTGGCCTCACTTGCTATCATTTTTTTTACTTGTTCTGTTTGGCATCAATTATACCCTTTTTTCTTTTCGTTCTTTTTGCTTCAGCCACTACAGCGGCGATAATTAACTAGATTTTACTTGCCTTCTACATTAATATTATAGATATTCTTTCCCCAGTTTTGGATAATAGACGCTTGCTCGTAGTATCACGAGGCCCTGGCGAATTAGATCCGTGTAGAGCAATCCGGGAAAAAAAAAAAAGGAATAGAGAAAGCAGGGGGATACGCCATGTCTAAAAATGATGGAACACCGGTAAATCTACTTGCATTAGGTACATACATCCACTCACCTATACTCATGTGACTGGTCATTCGAGTGTTGTCTGAGTGTAGGTAGCTAACGTTTGTTTCCACGATAGACGGGGGAGGGATCCGCGGAATATGCGAACTCAGGGTCTTAGACGAGATCATGAAGCGAGTCCAGAAAGCGCAAAATCTTGCCTCCATACCGAGACCATGCGACTACTTTGATCTCATGGCGGGCACAAGCACTGGCGGGTAAGGAACCTAACAGGTGTTGCTATTCCTAGGGGAAGAGAGGCGTTGGAGAGAATGCAAGACGTCGAACTAGTGGTGGTATATATGATCGATCATTCCACTAACAAGAGTGATGTGGGGATACAGACTTGTCGCTATCCTACTCTCGCGGTTTAAGATGACGACGACGGATGCGATCGCGGCCTACTACGACTTCTCGGGGAGGATATTCTCAAAGAAGAATAGGAAAGGGATGATGGGCGTATTGGTCGGCCATCCATTCCATGAGAAGCCTCTTGTAGACATCATCAAGGGTATGGTTGCTACTCATCAGATTGGAGAGCTCATGATCGACCCGAAACCCGAAGCTCGGTCTAAAGCTTTCGTCTGCTCGCAGCCCGCACATAGACAGGGGAAGGCCACTCGCTTTCGAACCTACGAACCACCAGCCCCGCTGAAGAAAGATACTTCTCTGCACATTTCTTCTCCTTCGGGCTCTTCGTCGTCCTCTTCCATCCATTCGTCGTCGTCGTTAAAATCCCCTTCTCAGTCTTCAGCTTCTTCGATAGATGATTCGCTCGCACATGGACCACCCAAGCTTAAAAATGTGACATCCACGATGAAAGACCCGTGGAATGACTACAGGGACGTGCAGATTTGGGAAGCCGCTCGTGCTACGACAGCCGCGCCGTCGTACTTCGACCCCATGGTTCTCACCCGCGGAAGCCACAGTAGAACTTTCATCGATGGAGCAATGGGTTGTAACAACCCAGCAAAAGAGGTAGTCGATGAGGCGGCAGCCCTGTTCGGAACAGACTGCGTCCTAGGCTGTCTTGTCAGTCTAGGAACCGGGTTCTCTGGCGAGGTAACGATTGGGGAGGCCGAGAGTGGGATAAAGAAAACCGTCGGTTTAATTAACAACCTCAAAAAGATAGCCACGAATACGGAAGAAGTACATGAGGATCTACGACGTCTAATACGAGCCGACTTGGATACTTACTTTCGGTTTCAACTCCCTAGCGGAGCCGAGAATATCCGCTTGCACGAGTATAAGAAACTCGATGAGCTATCCCGGCTCATGCAAGTGTATATAGAAAAAGAGTCATCTGAGATCGATAAGGTTGTGCGGATCCTGATAGACAAGGCAAAGCCAAGAGGCATCACCCTTGGCCAGATCGGTAAGCACTCGGCTACCCATTGTTCACGCCTCCACGGAACCAAGCTGACCTCAAGCAACCAAAAGCTCAATCCGACCACGGCCAGATCGACCCGCCCAAGAAAGATATCCGTAGCCGACCACCTGTCAGCGAGTTCTTCGTCGGTAGACAAGATATCATTGATACGCTAGCCAAGGACCTTTGCCCAGATAAACTACGTCCGAATCGCCAGCGACGTCATCTCATATATGGTCAACCTGGTGTCGGCAAGTCGCAGGTCGCCTCCAAATTTCTAGATGTTTATGGACACTGGTAAGAGTTGATACCGCACTCCCTAAGTAGAGTCTTCTGATGTATTTTCTTAGCTTTGACATGATATTATGGGTCGATGCGATGAATAAAGAAACGATCGAGGCTGGTTTTAGGGAACTCACGAATTGCTCGGAATATGGTTACGCTGGCGACGGATCGCCAAGGTCACTGCTGTCATGGCTGGAGAGGACGGAGCATTCGTGGATCCTGGTCCTCGACGATGTGCGCGGAGACGTGAGCAAGTACATACCCAGTGGAAGTAATGGCGCCGTGCTCTTCACCAGCCAGAACAAACTCATCAAGCCCGCTCAAAGGTGGACAACCTTTGTGGACGTAATAAACGAAACAGACGCACTCGAACTACTCCTGTCCAGCGCACAACTCACCGAAGTGGATGAAAAAGCGCGCAGGGGGGCGGAAAGGCTTGTGAAATCCTTAGGTTATCTGCCCCTGGCCATTGAACAGGCGGCCGCCACGCTTCGGATGGAACAATGGGAAGTCACAGAGTACGAGGCCGCACTCGAAACCCAAAATGATGACTTACTGAAAAAGCCAGATATTGATCACGGCTCGTTCGTCCGCCGAGCCGTGCACGCTTCCTTCGATGTCACGTACAAGGTCCTCAACAAGCAAGCCCACGAGGCTTCCGACGAGACAAAGGCCCAGGCCGCAAAATACGCACTCCAGCTCTTGAACCTTTTCTGCTTCTACCACAACGAAGGCCTCATGGGAAGTATCCTCAAGAGAGCAACCACTTATCGTCCAGATAATAGGAAGCAGGATGACTATGGGGTTGGCGCCGAGTCCTTTGCTGATCTGCTAGCTGTGGACGAGTCCGGGAAATGGATCGAGCGCCCATGGCAGCTGGGCATAGACTTGTTAATTGCGTATTCACTAGTCAAAGTGGCCAAAGATGACCAGGTTCAGAGACTGTACTCCATCCACGGCCTCGTACATAGTTGGGCGAGACAAAGAATGCCCGAGTATATCCGCCGTGCGCGAGCCAAAGCTGCTAGAATACTACTTTTCGACACGGTCCCCAAATCCCAATCTGCCCCCGACGAACTTTTATATAATGTGAAAATCCTCCCACACGCCCAGGCTGCTATGAAGAACACTGCGGAGGTCGACCTAGATGACCGGGCACTGAAAGCGGATCAGTGCTATAAATTCGGATTGATATTAGACCTAGGAGGGTTTACCCAGGACGCCCTTTCTGCCTTGTCCCAGGCATTCGAAACCTATTGTTCTGAATACGGAGTGTTATCCGAGATAACCTTAGAAGTTTCTCAATGCATGAGTCAAGTAGGAAAGCGTATGTACTATTTCGCAGAGTCCTTTCGCAATGCGAAATATATATACGAGGCGATGGTACTCAAACACGGCAAAGAACATATTTACACAATCCGTGCTCTCGCTAAAGCGGCAGCATTGATGACTGAGCTAGGGACGCTTGATCTCGCTGAAAACATATTACGAGATATTCTCGTGGTTCTTCCAGTATTGTTCCCCGGTGAAGAGCAGTTAACGACCAAGACTGCCTTATCCATGGTTTTATACTACACACAGCGAATGGGTCAAGCTAGGGATATGCTTGTCGACGTAGTGCGAGAATGTACAGAACGATTTGGTCCTTCTCATCCAGATACTCTCGCGAGCATGTCTAATTTGTCTATCGTTCAAATTAGATTGGCGAAATACGAAGAAGCAGAAGATTTAATCCAACGCGTTATGGAGGCCGAAAACAAACTTTTTGGGCCCAATTACTACGAGCGAGCCACCACTCTTCATAACCTCGCGACCGTGTACTTTCATCAAAAGAAATATTCGGAAGCACTGAAGCTATTCAGAGAGGCGAAACGTCTGGATTGCGACGACAACAAACTGGGTCCCGTCAGACATTGGTATCACCTCCAGGGCATAGCGCTAACAAGGTACAAGATGGGCGCTCGGCCTGCGGCCATTAAACTGATTAGTAACTGCTGCAAGATATTTGAAAAAGGGTTGAGTAATTTGCATATTTGCACAGCGATGGTCAAACTGCAGAGAGACGAGTGGATATGGGAAGAGGAAAACAACCTTCCCATCCAAACGGCACACGTCTTCGACATAGTACCAATGTTTCGATATTAGCAATAAAAAAGAATCGCTGGATGTAATCTTTGGGTTGACTGATATTTAAAGGAGTCGTGATATAAAAACCATGATTGGTGAAATGCGAATAAAACTAGACGTATAATCCCGTCGCAAGGCGAACTGATTAACCCATAACTTCAACAATCCAGTCGGCTTGAACGGTGCTGACCTTCTTCACATAACTCCTCTGTGTGAACACATGCTCCAGAAACATTATGGCTTCTCTTTTCTGTCCGTGTAAGACGCTGGATGGGTGTATGGCTACGACATGTTTCCCTTGTATTGTGACGTAGCTAGAGTCCGGTGCTAACAAGGCACACTTCGTACCGAAGCCCTTCATGAAACATTTCAGCAACAACGTCGCTCTTTCGGGAGACATAGGTACAAACGGCTGAGGGTCTGGTGGTGGTGTTTCTGTGAGCAATTTCTCCTTTAAGCATATACCGCGAAGTTGCTTTCGGATATTGAGGGCTTGTTTCATATTCCGGATATTGACTTTCCGTTTCTTGCACCATTCAATTCGGTCAGCATTCTCCGCCGCATACCGTTGCATGGTAGTCAAGTACGTGAGGATATCGCCTTCTCTGCGATACAACTCTTTGCGATACTCTTCCACTTCTTCTCTGACTTCCTCCGACTGCAGCTGGTGGAAAATATTTTCCCCCGAGGTGATGCAGGCGATAATATCAATGACTTCGAGGAGACAGTCATATTGAGGCTCACTCGCCGCAAGAAGTACCCTTCCGTATGGTGCAGAAACTGGGAAAAGAGCCAGCTTCTTCCCTATTTCCGTGATAGTGCCATTATCTGAGAGTGCTCCTAAAAAGTGTAGATGTATCAAAGCCTTTTCCACTGACTCAATATCAGGGAAATCCATCAGCGGAAATGAAAGAATATCAGTGATGCCGCGTGCCTTCATCGTTAGAATGGCGCCTAATACATCATTACGTAGGATCTCCGGCAAGTCAGCCTCTTTGAGTGAGTCGTACGTTGTTGATGTATAGAGTCTGTAGCATTTGCCAGGCCCTTCACGCCCAGCTCGGCCAGCCCGTTGTATCGCTGATGACTTTGAAATTGCCTTTGCCAACAAGGATTCCATGCCTAACTGTGAACGGAATTGCTTTACTTTAGCTTTTCCGCAGTCGATTACATAACGAACACCCGGGACGGTGACTGATGTTTCTGCGATATTGGTTGCTAAGACTACTTTCCGTGTAAAGCCGTTCTTAGCGGGTAAGAATGCATTCTGCTGTGCTTGGATTGAGAGCTGGCCATATAGAGGACAGACTAATAGTTTCGGTACATCCGAAGCTAACGTCTCGCTGTGCTCTTCGATGAGACGTTGAGCGGCCTCTATTTCTTCTTGACCGGTCAGAAAAGCCAGGATATCACCAGGCAATGGCTCCTGCAAATGAATATCAAAGATTCGCTTCAGAAGGGCCTCTTGAATGTCCGTGACAGGCTTGCTCGTGTGTTTAATTTCCACAGGATACTGCCTTCCTTTGATTTGGAGCAGACGGACGGCAGAACTCGATTTCTGGGGTGCAAAGAAACCTTGAATTTTTTCCACATCCGCTGTAGCACTCATGATGACAACCTTTAGGGGTATACCTCCCCTTCCGGCTTTGTCGCCCGACAGTATCTGCTTTAGAAATCCGGCGATCAAGTCTACGTCAACGCTTCTTTCATGAATTTCATCGACGATCACAGCGCTATACTGCCGCAGATTCGGATCTCGTAAGAGCTCCTGTAGAAGCATACCTTCTGTGAGAAATTTAATCTTAGTACCTTTTGGAACATTATGGTCGAATCGAACAGAGTATCCGACAGAACCCTCGCGTGATGCCCCCAGGGGTGTTCCCATCTCACGAGAAACTCTATTGGCTAGAGTCGTTGCTGCAACCCGTCGAGGTTGAGTGATGGCAATCATTCCACCTACGTTTACCGTATCTGACTGCACTTGGACTTTCTTTTTTCGACACCAGGGTTCATCGCATAAGAACTGGGGAACTTGTGTACTCTTGCCCGAACCAGTTTCACCGACGATGAGTAGCATGTCATTATCACCGCGCAGGCTGGCCGTAATTTCGTTCTGATGAGTCCATATTGGTAGGGCCTTTCGGGATTTTAACAATGACTGATCTCCACTATTTGAAAGACGCTTGGGAAGGCGTGCTATTTGAGTTTGTGGCTCATGCTCCTTCGTAGAATCATGCTGGGGTTTCCCGGTTGTAGTATGCTCCTGAACTGATGGTGGTTTCTCTGGTTTCTTTTCAGGATTGAGATAAGCGCTCAGAGATATTGTCTTATTTCCGATTTTTATGACTGACGCGTCATTTGTAGACTTAGTTTTACGCCTCTTGGGCTTGCGTTCGTCGTCGGCCATTTTGAGTTATGTTGCTGAGGTTGAAAATAGTAGACTTTTCTCACTGGGAAGCTTAAGATAAATGTACTTAATGCTAGCACTGTAGTACAGAGACTCCTGGTCACGTGGAATACAGTGTCAGAAACTGACCCAATCAAAAATCAAAATAGCGTAACTAATCGTATTTTAGGTACGTACCTAAATACCCAGCAACATGTGCCAGGAAGCACAAAGAGAAAATCATATCTTGTATTTGGATTCTTATGACAATTTGAACTGGTAACTACCTCTTATATAATGTTATAGGCCTGGTACAGTTAGCCTTAGAGGTAGACTGCTTTATATTATGCTTTAAATACTGGGTATGTATTAGACTACGAAGATTAACAATGCCCAGACATCATTCCTCGCTACCATCCTTATGCCCCTTCTGAATTGCTTTCATGAGTTCATATAGCTGCCCCATCTGTTGGTCTGGTGATTTCTATTAGTGAGATGATCATTTGCTGAGATCTAAGACAGGTAGACAAACCACTCATCTTCTCAACTTTCTCAGGATCCAACTTTTCGCCAACCCATGACTTGCCTTCGATTTTCTGGGCGTAGAGTTGCCATTCCGTAAGGAACCCGATCTGGGTAGTAGTTGTTAGTTTTTGAATAAATCCCTTAAATACGAGGCTCATACTAAATGCGCTGGATTATCGACATTCCTATGGGCACGGAATTCGGCCTTGATGTATTCATCGCCAAGTAAACGCATCTCATGTGGTAAGTGTTTCCGATGAGCTCTAAATAGACGTCGGTAAAGAGGAATCGGTGGTAATAATGCCATGGGCGCTGGCTTCAGGCCGTTTCCCGCGGCTGCCGTAGCCAATAGTCTCCATGAGGGTTGCATAGTGAATTCGATCTGATATTAAATCTGGATAGTGAAATCAGACTTGTTGTAACTGGACAATGCGTCTGGATTGGGGCTATACAGTAGATCGTTGGTTTCCTATGCGAGCCACACACTGTATACTAACATCACGTAAATTAAAATATGTAAACCAAACCAAGGCATCATCAGAGCATCATCAGAATAGTGAAGCATTAACACAGAATATAGGCAAGTAATTATTAGACTACCAAGCTTCTATATTGCAACTATAATATAATACTGATCCTCAATATAGGCCCCGAAATAAACAGACTGTCATACAAATCCACTCGCAGTTCTGAGAGGATACCGAAGTTTTATCATTACTCTATACTACAAGCATTCATCTTGATTCTGATGCATGATGCTTGGGGGCGACTCTACTCATAAGGGGTCAACCTTATGAAGTGTCAGGTGAAGATAAATACCATTGTATTCATCCCCACCGTAAACTATTGAAGCATTGCTAATCCAACAATATTTTTTTGTCCAATGAGAAGATGCACAATACCACCAATACCTTCAAGGATAATCATCTGATGGTTTGAAGCCTGCGGGTGTGCACCACCGTTTCGTCGCTTAATTTATCGCTCTGTATAGTTGTTAGTCTTAGTCTTGTATACGGCACAACAAATAGTGGCTTACCTTGCTACCGATCCTATCGATGGTCTTGTTCTGGGTATCGACTATATCGCTGATGTTATGAGCAAGGTGGTTAATTGAAGCGAGTCTCCGGGCCGTCAACTCCATGTTTTCATCAATTTCATCCTCTTGTGCATTCGTCTCTTCATCATCATCATCCTCAAATGCATACTTAGACCTCTCGGCAGCACTTTGTTTCTTCCAGACGTGGTTATTCGCACTGGCTTCTGCTTCTCTGAATGTAGCCTCCATACGTTGGTTTCCCATATAGCCTTCCTTACGTGTTGTCTCACGTATCTCACGCTCCGAACGATGCTCATCCAGGGCCTTTTGCTCTATCTCTCTTTGCCTTTTAGACGCCGTGAAAGGGTTCCCTACATGAACAGCAAACATGCTCCGATTTAGACTCTTGAGCTTCTTGGTTGACTGCTCAGCTTCTCTACTTGCAAAGCTACCCTTGTCGATAAGGGTTTCGGTGTAGTTAAGGCGTTCGGTCTGTCCGCCAAGACGAGCAACGGTCTGCATTGCAACATCTAATGCTTGATCGGCAGTACGTGCAATATTCTGGGTCGTCCCTACTGTAGCCAGCCTCTCTTCTTTTATCTGTCGTTTGATGTCATCGATTTCGGCCTCTTCTTGTTCTTCTGCTGTAAGTTCACGCTGCTCTCCATATCCACCATACTTATTGCCAGAGTCAATTCCCGATGTGCCAGAAGCTCCAGACGTATCTTGACCATTGGGCTGGCGCTGGTCAAACCGCTCACGAGCTCCAGAGAAAAGCGCATCCCTATTGGTGTCCGCATTATTATTATCGGACTGCCCAAGTCCACCGTAGCCACCCGGACGAGCACCATAACCGTTCGAGTTACCATATTTACTTGCGCCATAGCCCGACGGCGCGCCATATTTATCATTGGTATAGCCATTAGCGGAATATGGAGGTGCTGGACTTGTTGAAGAGTAGCCGCTATTCGTACGAGCTGGTGGGGCAGCGTGACCGTTCTGAGGAGATGGTCCGTTAGGTAGACCATTGGTTTGAGGATCGGGGAGACGCGCGCGAGCTTGTTGATAAGGCGTCATATGGGCATATTTGTTGCTATCGTTCATGTAAGGGTCATTCGCGGGTTGGGATTGAGCATAGGGATTGTCGGACGAAGGCGCCGGAGAGCCCTTCTTCCCAAACAGGGCCGAACGGTTCGCATCGTCATCGCCATCCGCATGCTTTCTTCCGAAGCCGAATTTCCTCATTTTGGCTGGAGATATATCGTGTTGTTCAAGGCTTGATTACTTGGTGTGATGAATGGATGAGATGGTTAGAAAGAGGGAGATCTGACAGTTATAGAGGAGGCGAATTATGGGACTGAAGGCGGAGGATGTCTTAGGTTACGTTTCGAAAAGGAGGGTGCTTAAAAGGGAGTAAGGAAGCAGATCAGCTGTATCCAAAACAATTCGTCAGTTCCATGCCGCAGCAGTTATCTAGTGGATGGAGGGCTCCATATTTTTAATTATTTAGCAGGCGGTCAGGGGCGGTAAAGATGTCAGCAATTGGGGTGGCAAGTGCTATTTAGTTGAAGAAACGCCTAGGTATTCTAAGTTTGGCTTCCGGCTGTTCATATTGTAGGTACCTAACATACATGTATTGATGTACATAGTTATACTTTCCATTAATGTTTATACAATAGACTAGGCAAGTATCCCCTTGACTGGCATAAAACAGTAAACCCACTATTTTCAGTATCGATACATCAAGATTGGCTAAAGGATAAAGACTGGTTGCGTTGAACTTTACGTACTTTACCGAATAAGGTTTTTACTGTTTTATGCCAGTCAAGGGGATATCTTCATTATGCTTTCATACTACTGTACATAAATTACTATTGATCGTCTTGTTTAGCGTGTGCGACCGATATCGTGGGAATCCGATGATTCGTATGGTATATTTTTACTGTCCTTCTACTCCAGGTTTAGGTGGATTCCATTAAGGGGGTAAATATAGTGCCAGCAATGCGGCTGCGCGCAACACTAGACGTTTCCACTGGAGTGTTTGAGTGCTTGGGTCCTGCCACATGGTCTGACGTTGAAGAATTCTACCCTGTTGGAAGGCATATGATCATACTTTAGTGTACGTAAATATATGGTTTTATGTACATATATAAGTACCAATACATATGAAAACTGTACAAAGTATTTAGTTATTGATTTATGGAGACATATACTTGTAATCTCCACGAAAACTGTGCTTACAATATGTACCCCGGGTGAGTCAGATACTCAATACGAGCTTGTTGGCTGTTGTCGGAAAGCACCATAGGTATTACATAGGTAGGTAGTTGCACCTTACATATTTCTACTTCGCCGGTCGAATTTATACCGATGAGTCTATCACCACTTCTATCACCACTTCACATGAGATATTCACCTAACAACATACCACCAACAACTTCCAGGTTGCAATGGCTGGTCTAAATTTGCATTAATATTATTCTCCTACTAGAGAATACACCAAAAAACTTATCCTACACATATTTACGAGCTTTCTAGCTCCAACCTATCGAAGATGATACCCCGAATACATCCTCTTTATACACAGCGAATAGCGCAAGACCATGCAATAGAATCAATACAAAAATTCCTCATAACGGCAAGAAGACTGTAAATCAAGGATTAAAGGGCTGCGCCTTTAAAAAGCGGTCATAGCTCCTGAAGACAAGGACTATATAACGCTGAAGTATAAACGGGGTTCGACCTGGCTGCTTATTCAGTTCACCGACTTACCAGTGTACATAATTCATCGGGTAATTGAAGTTGGCAATGGCTTCGATATTCACCTTCGATCATGATCCTCCACGGGTGCAGTCACCCTGGCAGTCCGGACAGGACTCCGGAAAGAGGCCTCAACCCGAGCGTTCCGTAACGACCGGCGCCATCGTCGAGGCGGAACAGCTATCGGACCCTCACTTAGAGAGACTCGAAGCAGAGCCGCAAGACGGCCCCATCGAATACAAACTACACCTCTTACTACGCCCCCGGAGGGTCTATAATAAAATGAGCACCACACTTAAAGTCTCGGGGTCTCAGCAGTCCAGATCGCTACGAGAATCAAAGCTTCCAAGGCAAGGCAGTCTTCCTCTCGCCGCTTCAAACCAAACTAGGCAGAATCGCCTCCATCACTTAACCACTCAGCTACTTTGGAGACTTCAGCAGTCATCGCCCTATCATTCCAATGCAAGACGTGAACTTATACTACCGAGGTTACCTGAAGATATTGCCGATCTCGCGGCTCTAGAGAAACCCCAGCAGCTTCTCCCAGGCCTGGAGGAGTCTAACGGAGCATTATATGAAATAGGCGTTGCTGACGATGGGACATTCGTGGGCTTGACTAAAGATGAGATGGATGAGAGTATGACGACTCTAAAAGTCATGGCTGCTAGTCTGGGTTGTAGGGTCGAGGTTCAGCGCATGAAGGCTGTCGGGAACTGCGAGTGGTTAGACAGCGCCTCGGGATTGAGTGACAAGGTTCACGTTGCGGATCTCTGGGTGGCGGAAGCACTCGTCATGCCGGTAATGAATACCCAGAGCGACAAGGACGGTCAACAGAAAAGTCCTTCGGACGTTACGGCTAGGAGAGGTGCTTCGGTCACCGAACAACTCCGGATTTCGCTCATTGGTCCGACAACTTCGGGTAAAACAACACTTCTGGGAACGCTCTCTAATGGTACATTAGATAACGGTCGAGGAAGCAGTCGAATCAATCTGTTGAGACATCGTCATGAAGTCGTATCCGGACGGACTAGCTCTATTGCCCAGGAACTTATCGGTTACGATGATCGGAAGATTTTTAATTATAACGTTGATAATATCAACGAATGGCCCGATATCCATGACCGTGCAGAGAATGGTCGGTTAGTCTTTTTACTAGACTCTGCCGGACATCCTCGATACCAACGGACCACCCTCCGAGCTCTAGTTGGATGGGCTCCTCATTGGACCCTGCTGTGCATCCCTGCGAGTGAAGATGGGAGCCCCGCCTCTGGTGTTCACTCACTGTCAGGCGCAGATGGTGCTATAGGGATTGGGATAGCATCAATGGATTTAGCTATGGCGCATCTTGATTTATGCCTCAAATTAGCCATACCTCTTGCCATTCTTATAACTAAATCCGAGTTAGGGCAGCGTGCGCTACTAAAAAACAAACTGAATATAGTATTTACCAAGGTCAAGGCTATGGGTAGGATGCCGAAGCTGCTTACTTCCACAGCACGCGACGAGGATAACCTTACAGAGGTGTCCGAAAACGACATGCAGAAGGTCAAGGATGAAATAATTGACCCTATTGCCAAGTCTACCGACCCATTATCCATTGTTCCGATCGTACTTACAAGCGCTGTAAAGGGTATAGGTATCGGGTTGACCCACGCCTTATTAAGAAGCTTGCCGGTTCCGCCTTTGCCTACGGCTCGAGACTTTGTTCCCCTTGCATTGAATCCGGAGCAGCCAGCTGCTTTATTTCATATTGACGAAGTTTTTGAAATGTCGTTGAGCCGAGCCCAAAGCACCGCATCTTCTACATCGGGTGAGAGTGCGCCGGTAGTGACAGGATATCTACGATTTGGAAGATTATCTATTGGCGATAGGGTTGTATTAGGTCCTTTCCCAGGGGAGGATGAAGACGCCGGAGCTCTAGTACCAAAGGACTACCCTTCACCTGGATACGGCCTATCGATTCCACATCCGTCATCTGCAGAATTTGCCCGGCTTAGTTCTCGTCACACACTGTCAGCCTCTAAAATCGAGGGCGAATGGCGCCAGGCGACGATTGTAAATATCCGCGACCTAAGACTTCCAGTGCAAACAATCGAAGCAGGGCAAGCGGGCTCTATTCAAGTAGTGTTCAGCGACCTTCCCGAGGAATCATCCGATATTAACACCACCCCTGAAACCCCAAGGATATCCAGTGCTCGGCTCCGCAAGGGACAGGTCCTAGCGATGGCCAGTCAACACATGGTTGACACGGGTCTCTCACTCCAAGCCGCCTCTAGTTTGATAGCTTCTTTCAAAACATCGGATGTCAAGCTACTAACTGTCAATAGTCTGGTGAACGCCTACGTGGGAATGGTACGTGCTGCTGTTCGGGTACTAGGTGTAAAGCGCCAAAAGTTCGATCTTAGTGCACAGAGAGTCGCGACGGAAGATAGTGACGACGTGTTCAGCATGAATGACCATATCGAACTTGAGCGTACCAAGTCGGAATCAGACCTAGATGAGTATCATGCGGAGTATCATGTCTCGCTAGAGTTCCTAAACAACAGAGAATGGATTGAACTAGGGTCCCAGATCGTTCTTGTAGAAGGAGGATCTAAAGATAAGTCGGGGCTGGAGGGTTACGTTGGTCGGGTGATTGAAATTGGAGAATGAATGATATATCTTATAGTAGTTCCAGAGGCCAACTTTGGGATATCAAAACGGGGACGAGTAGCGGTATAGCGATAGCGACGTATTTAATATTATTTGAGATTATACCATCCTTTGCCTCAGGTTAATACACCACGAATTTTCATACGTAGTTGTATCGTACTACTAAACGCCAACCAATGCTCGCGGAAACATAACCGAATCATCTTATTGCTGCTATGCTCTTACCAGACCGTAAAACAGCGTCCACGTCAATATGTATCCCGCAAGCCCGCTAAAGAGACCGCCCGTCCAGAATTCAAACTGGGTACGGAAATATCTGCTCGTGTCGAAGAGGCCATGGCCTGCCTTTAACGACGTAGGTGCGACGCGGATCGTGTAGAAGAGGACGGTGGTGAGGATTGTGAAGATGAAGTAGAACAGAAAGCCGTTGTAGGATTCGAGGCCGAGGATGCCGGCTGCGGCGCCGAAGATTGATGCGGTGAGGGTCTGGAGGTTGGATAGAGTCTGTTGGGGGGAGACTGTTCGTTAGTTTTTTTGTTTGGCTGGAGGACAGTGTAGTACTGCGTCGAGACGAGTGCTGGGTATTATGTGAATAGTAGACTGACCCTAGAGTTGTTTATGATGGACTCGGGCACGATGGGTGCGATTTGGAATTCTCGTTCGGTCGGCATGGCTGCGATAGTTCTTTGCCTATCCTTGTCTGTCTATTCTTTACTTTTCTTCCTCTTCTTACTGTTCCCTCTCGTTGCTTAGGTCTTATTGAAATCGGGCGTTTGTGGTTTTGGTGTCGCAGTACGAAGTACGTAATGTTGAAGTCGAAGGTTTAGTGGAGACGCTGCCGACGAATAGCGTGAGGCTGCTAACCCCCGGGAAGGCGGTTCGAATGCTGGGTACCTCCAACATAATGCCTTGCGGAATCTTGCAGGAGCGTTATGTAAGCTGACTTATAAGAAATCCAAGCCTGTAGGACCTAAGGCATCGAGGAATCATAGAGCTTCCATAGCTCATTTCTAAGAGCAATGTCGGTAGAAGTTTTCTAAGTACTTTCTCTAGTTACTGTTTCTGTTTCTGTTTCTTTTTCTTTTCTTGTTCTTTGGCATAGTAGGTACCTATCCTAACATGAGGTACTTCCAAGGAGAAAAACATAGACAAAGAAAACTTAGGTTCATAGACAAATTCGAAACTCAATACGGGGTTTACACAAGCATCTGATAAGTCTATGCTACAAATATAAGTTCGAGGCTGGAGCGGTAATTGAGATCTGCTTGATAAGATTTTTGGGGAATCTCATCCATTGAGACGGGATCAATGTCTACTACAGTAAAGATGCCCCATGCGCAGGGTTACGTAAAAGGGACGTGAATTATCATAGCCACACATATTAACTGGTCAGAGAAGATAATACACATATTACAAGAATACTGCCTTCTAATACTGTCGCACATAATTCTTATTCTTAGGTACTTATCGGAAAGGATAGGGAAACCTGGGGAAAGTCTACATGCGATATTGGTCGAGTTAACAAGAGTGTGGCGCTGGGCTTCGTCAACTCACTGGGCGGAGCATAAGCAATCCTGCGGCGGAAAGCAAGCGCCAAGTACCTAAGTAAGCGAGTTTGTCTCTCAAAGGGATCTCTTTAAAGGACCACCAATGAATACAAAAAGGCAAGCGGATTGTTGAACCGATTTCGTATACTATTGTTGACTTAGTTACGTCACCTACTAACGTTAGAAAAGAAAGTTCATAGAAAATGATAGCTCCTTTCTCTGGACAACAGCATTTATAGATGTATAATAGGACATAGCTCTTAGGCTCGTCCGAACAATAGCAAAAAAAATTTAGGTAATCTGCAAAAATATAATCAATGACCCCAACCCGATTTGAACGGATAACCTTTCGATCTGGAGTCGAACGCGCTACCGTTGCGCCATGAGGCCAGATGCAAGATGAAAATTTTTTGCCAAAATATGATCTATATTGCCAACATTGGAGAGCTTAGCGGGACCATCCGAACATCACCCTTGGGGCTCCATTAGTTCGCAATTGGCTGCCTCTGAAGGAAATGGAATGATGCTCCTAAATTTACGCTTCCGTCAGATCATTGGTTCATACTGGACCGCAAACGTTTGGCTAAGGCTGACTGCAGACGCTAGGCATGTGTACATATGCATGTACGTACATACAATTCGACTAATGCTGCAGTTCTAGATGTTCCTTCCATGACGAAACTACACTGAACTGGATACTACGGAGGCTGCTGGATACGGGGGGCTTCTATGGGGAAAGCTCAACCCCTGGACGGGTTCTCGGACATTACTCGCTGCGTATCTGTTTGGTATCTGCCTAGTATCCGTGTAATACTAGGTACCTAATACATCTTAGCTACTTGCCTAATTAGATCATTAATGCTACCTCTTTTAGGGATGTTAATCTTGTATGTTAATCTCATGTGTACAATACATTGCGAGTCAAATGAACAAAGCACTTGACCACTTCTTTTCCATTTACCACTCCGTTCCTTTCTACCGTTCCTTTCACTGACACTATTCCTTTGCAACCCCCCCATCTCTTACGTATATTCCTTTAGATTCTACTGTCGCTCTTTTTTAATCGAATCAAACCTTGCCATTTACAATACGACTGGGTGCACGAATCACAGTCGTCTCGCGCCAGATGGACGCGATCCGTCGTGCGACACTTACAATTACATGGAGACTCACGTAGATGAGGGCACGCCTTTGAGCAACTACCTCGAGGGTATGTATGCTAGTTCTGTGCTATACCTTGGCCCCTCAATTTCTTCGCTAGAGCATCCTTCCCTTGGCGGCCGAAATGCCCGGAGCTCCTACAGTCCTAATTATGGTTACAGGCACGGGGGAAAGAGAAGAACCTCAGTGGCAGGAACCCGACGACGATAGGAATTATGATAACTCGCCATCGTCAAGCCCACCGCGAGAGTTCGCCCCGAGAGGGTTTGCCAAAGTCCGGAAGAGGTTTCGGGAGCATCTCCCTAGACCCCTGCGGATCGATTCCAACAATGTCCCATCCCGTTTCAACCTAGATGAATTCCACAACCATGCCTCCCCTATCATCGAAGTGTTACGGCTATTAGTCGAGGCAGTAACTTCATCTATCGATCATGCTCGGTCGATCGGTTTCCTTGAGCGGCTGCGCCTTGCAATCATACAGTCCCAACTTTTAGACAACCCCTTAGTATTAGGCTATCAAGCCTCGGAAGACCCTGCGCTATCGCAACCGGCTAGCGAAGCAAACTTTCATGGGATTACAGTTTCCGGCGCCGTTGCTGCTGTTGTGTTCAGTTTCGGTACGGCATCGCTCGTCCGTTGGTTCTCGCTGGGAGGTTTTATGCCAACATGGAGAGGGTCGATAGCTTTCGTTGTAGTAGTGTCTATAGCGTCTCTAGTCGTGAGAGCATACGTACGAAGACAGATTTTAAGAAATATCCAGAAGCAAGGACTATTAGAAGCCTCGACGTTTTTCGCGCTCTCCCGAGAGTATGACTGTGCAAACAGTGCAGCATTAAACTTTGTAATGGAGGTGGAATTAGTTGCCCGCGGATATCGACTGTAAGTCTATTTTGCTCGCGAATGCTTAGCTTAACTGGCTAATCTATAAATAGGAGCACACCCATCCCCCCTATTAGCCGACTAGAGAATAATGGGCAAAACGTCAAGTGTCTTCAGCTTAGGAAAGCCCTTCGAACCAGCTTAACAGAAGTCATTTCTAAATATTATCAAGTGGCCTTTACGATTTGGGCATTTGCGGAACAGACCGAGCTGCTGCAACTGCAATCCCAGTATCAGTTTACAGTCGCCGATGTTGTAGAAAGATTTCAGGTGTTTTCAAAAACTGATGCCCAGGATGCTGAGAAGTTGCAACCTTTAAAAGATGCCGCATTCCTCTTTCATGATATTCGGAAGATGTTTCTGAGCGGTCTGCTTGCTCTCCACACCGTCGGCAACGATTCTGATCGACTTCGTTTTACGACTATATTAGAAGCATTCGAGGAATTAAATACGGCCACGAGGCAAGCTTATACGCGGGTGAGGGACATCCTGGCTGATAATGATTGTAAGTGAGCTCTATAATTTCCTTAACTGATGTTTTCTAATAGTGAGTTTATAGTTCCAATCCCCAAAACTCCTCGGAGTCCTGAGACGCCTAGTCATGATCGTTGGCGCCACCAAGTCCGCAGATTGAATTCGATGACTATGAATATCCGCAGCGTGCAGGCTAAATTGCACCTTCTGCGTGAGGAGTCGTCCAAGGCTTTGAACGAGGCTGATGATATTACCGATTTGGGGCCATTATTCATGGCCCAGTACGAGTCAATTGGACAAGATCTACGGGATTTAATGGAAGCATGGCAGACAGGAAAGGCTTCGCTAGCGTCTGGTATCGACAGAAATGAGAAACGCCTGTCATCCATGGGCTCTACGCTCATGTCTCCCCTGAGTACGATGAGTGGACGAACCATAGCGGAAGAGGATGAAAACAGCCAGGACGAGGGCGTTGCTGACGCATACAAGAAGCTTACTGGGGGGTCTTCACCGCCATCAGAGCCAGAGCCAGAAGTATTTGAGGCTATCTCGATTCCACGCCCAAAGAGTTTATTCACACGGGAAGAGAGGATAATCAAGATGAGAGAAGACCGCAAATCTAAAGAAATTGCCAAGGCGAAGGCCGAAGCCCAAAGGGGCATGATGCGAGAGCTGCAAGGAGTATTAGAAAGGAAGCCCGGACGTGGTCGAGTCTCTCTTTAAAAGTTTTCGTTAACACTGTATCATTTCGACTAACAGCACCAGCTGGGCCCAAGGCGCGGGTAACGATTAGATTATGAACTGGGTCATCGGTTGTAATATGGCGTATTTGGGATAGAGAGCGATCTGATTCGAAGTTGACTTCGTCATGGCGTTTGCTTTAGTTGGTTTTGGGGGGGATTTACTGCATAAGAGAGCTGGTCATCCATACGATCTTTGCCTATAATGTCTTTTCTATGTTGCGAGTACAGTACATATACATAAATCAGTCGCCTAACTACATAGGCGTATACATAAGGTACATACATAATAAAACCTCACTTGAGAAGACAGGATCAAGGCTGTTTCGTGCGATGTGAGTACGAATTAGGGGGGTACATATAAAAAAGTTAGGTCTCCTTGAAATGTACGGTGCACATCACAATGAGAGCTATGGCCGTGTAAGTACCAGGTATACCGCTGTTACCTGTGTCAAGGTGGGGCATTCGCGCGTCTACCTTCAATTAAAGACGCGTCCAACCACTCAACGCGTCTCCGTTCCCCAGCTTATCCCACTAATTTCTAGAATTGTATTTCTTGCCAAATATTCTTCAGCATAACCAATTTTACGGTACCTTCTCGACAACAACCTCAGCTACGAACAATTCTTACGACAGTAATCACATCTCGAGTCTTCCTTTTACAGATCTATATTCATCGCTCCCAGATACCCAACTTTATTAACACCCTATTTTATTATCTTCCGTCTAAAATTAATCACCATGTTAGAGGCACGACTCGAGCAAGCCCAGATCCTCAAGAAGGTCCGTCTACTCAAATTGTGTAGTTCCCGCTATCAATCAAGCTGACAGATTATTATTATAGGTGGTCGATTCCATCAAGGATCTGGTGCAGGACTGCAATTTCGACTGCAATGACTCGGGCATCGCGCTGCAGGCCATGGACAACTCCCACGTCGCCCTCGTGTCGATGATGCTGAAGGCCGAGGGTTTCTCTCCTTACCGCTGCGACCGCAATATCGCCCTCGGTGTAAACCTCGTCTCCCTCACAAAGGTCCTACGCGCGGCCCAGAACGAAGACATCCTCACATTAAAGGCTGAAGATGCGCCCGATTCTCTCAATCTCGTCTTCGAGAGCAGCGAGAACGACCGTATCAGCGAGTACGACTTGAAGCTCATGGATATCGACCAGGAGCACTTGGGTATTCCTGAGACGGAGTATGCTGCGACTATCTCTATGCCTTCATCCGAGTTCAGACGTATCTGCACGGATTTGATGGCTATGTCCGAATCTGGTAAGTGGCAGTTATGCCCTCCTTTCAGTTAGAGCTACTTATTATGAAAACAATATGGCTAACGCGTATAAGTGACGATTGATGCTACCAAGGATGGAGTCAAATTTTCTTGCAACGGTGATATTGGTAACGGTGCCGTTACGCTCCGAAGCCACCAGAACGTCGACAAGCCCGAACTCAACATCGACATCGAGCTCACCGAGCCGGTCGGCCTTACCTTCTCCCTCAAATACCTGGTCAACTTCTGCAAAGCCCAAGCTCTATCTACCACCGTCAAGATCTGCTTATCCAACGAGGTGCCCCTTCTTGTGGAGTATGGACTGGCCGGCAGCAGTTACTTGAGGTTCTACCTCGCTCCCAAGGTATGTGATGCCCCGACACCTGATGCTGTATCTGACACATTACTAACTATGAACTTATAGATCAGCGACGACGAGTAAGAAATTAAGCAAGACGGAAGCTAATGAGAACTACGAATATACCACGTCGATATTTGGAGGTGGTAGAATACCACGGGGCTTGCCATGGAACCCTTCGTGCTCTACGAAATGGATACGAATGAATACCGTATGCAAAATGTTAATTGCATTATTAGTATAGTTAGGGCCTCTTGGACGGCATTGGCTTTAGATGCAGTATCAGTCCATAATTTGCGAAGCGATTAAGGACGAGATAGGCAGATTAATGGGCTTTATAGCCCTAATATAAATTCATTTTCTTACCCAATATGAAGCTAAATGTTAGCTTATCGTGGGATTGAAGTAATAATACTGAAATAGACGTACCAGATACAACTTACGATGACAAGGTAAGCAACATTGGACTTAAAAAAGCTTAGTGCGGGGCTATCCGTCATGGCGGGGCTCTTCGACAAAGCTTAGGTAGACTCAGCTTTTCAATGGTCACTTATCGGAAGAGAGTCATGCGCCCTTATTGTCCTCGGCACTCGGCGGGAGGTTATTTATATATTATCATCACGGCTTCCGTCTTGACCCTCCGTTCTTTCCCCAATGCTTACTCTTTTAAACGGTTTTATAGAAAATAATCAGATACTTGACTTCCTCTAATACATTTACACAATTCACATTGTTACCTTCCTACCAACCGTCCGCATGAGTGCCGAACCACCGTTCGTCCCGGAGACGAGCGTCTTAGCCGTCGCCAGCCATGTAGGGAAAAGCCAATGCTTCTAACAGTCAGTTTCCTATTTTTTAGTAGCTAATGTCCCTCTTTGAAGGTTGTCTCCGGGTGAGAGTTTATAGATTTATACTACCAAGATCGTCGACGACGACCCTTCCGTTAACACCGTATTTCCGTGGATAGGAACGTAGGCAATAAGATCGCCGTCTTTGCGCTACAGTCTATGGGCTGCGATGTCTCTGCTATGAATACCGTGCAGTTCAGTACGTACATACTTGTCAATCAGTATCTCGCAGCCGAGCATATCATGTTCTAACACGAGTGTCAAACGCAAAGGCAACCATACGGGTTATAAGCAATGGAAGGGCACGCGCGTGTCGGCGCAGGAGATCACGGATCTGTGGGAAGGTCTCAAGCAGTCATACCTCGACGACTTCGACATGATGCTCTCGGGGTACGTGCCCGGGGCAGCCGCCGTCGAAGCAGTCGGAAACATCGGAAAAGAGCTCAAACATAAGTCGAAGGCTCAGAAACCGGGAAGCTTCTTCTGGGTGCTAGATCCGGTCATGGGCGATAATGGCCGCCTATATGTCGCAGAGGACGTAGTGCCTGCGTATAAGAACCTGATACAATATGCCGACCTTATCTTACCCAATCAGTTCGAAGCTGAGTAAGTCCATTGCTTTCATGTGTACCTTTCCTTGCTGGATAGACGGATGAGGGTTTCAAGGAATTCCCGGCCTAGGAAATGGTAGAGGAAGGAGTATAAAGGAGTATGTTAGCTAACCAGCCCTTTTTTCGGTAGGCTCCTTTCCGGCGTAAAGATTACCGATTTTGCCTCTCTTGAGAATGCGATTCGAGTTCTACACCAAGACTTCGGCGTTCCTCACATCGTTATCACATCCGTGTCCTTACCGTCCGTCAACTCATCCCCTTCTACGGAGACAACCCGCACCATGTCAGTCGTGGGTTCGACCATGAATTCGGACCGACAGCCCCGGCTCTTCAAGATCACATTCCCGGTGTTTGAGTGCTACTTCAGCGGGACAGGGGACATGTTCGCGGCGCTGATGGTAGCCCGCATGCGTGAGGCGGTAACCAACTACGACGAGCAGAGCAACGGGAATGGAAACGGACCCCTAGTGGAAAAGCTCTCGTGGCTTAGTCCCGACGACGTGGATGCTCAGGACCTGCCGCTCGCGAGGGCGGCAGAGAAGGTCCTGGCTAGCATGCACGAGGTTTTAGATCGTACATGTGCGAGCTTAACGGCGGAGATGGCGGAGAAGCAGAAAGACAAAAATCTAGACGAGAAGGCACTACATCTCCTAAAGTCGAGGGCTTCGGAACTAAAACTCGCGAGAAATCTAGGGAGTCTACGCAATCCCAAGGTGGAATACCGCGCGGAAAAGGTGTAAATAGACTTGGATATTGTACTGAGAAAGGAGGCCAGGCTAGATTCGTGGCCTATGGGCACTAGGCTACATATACCACATCATAGAATAGAAATGTGCCTAGATGTCACTAGAAACGGGATTGAGTAGGGCGATACTATAAAAAGTCCCTTGTCTAGTTTGAAGTGGTTCTTAGAACGCTTGTTGTAGAATCTATGTTCATTTCCTTCATATCCCATCCTCTATACATGGACGAGCTAGACTCTCCTTCCCCTTTGAAAAGGGTCTATCTATCTACCCATCTATACCCCATCTACTCTATTGGCTAATCAATTGACTAACGAACTTGACCAGATCTTGGTGGCCGTCTCCCAGTGACATCTCTAAGTCTTCGTACACTCATCGTATGTCATACTACCCAAGTAGGTACCTAGGTAGGTATACCGTAGCCTCCATCTTCCCAGCTCAAGACAACGTCCTTAATTCGTACCCGTGCTGCCAAACCCCCCGGCCCCACGCACACTCTCCTCCAGCTCCTGCACCTCCAGCACCTCAGGCGTGTAAATCCTCTCCACAACGAGCTGGGCGACGCGGTCGCCCTCCGCCACCGCGAAATCCGCGTCCGAGTGGTTGAACAGCAGGACCTTCAGGGGCCCGCGGTAGTCGGCGTCGATGACGCCGGCGCCCGTGTCGATGAAGTGCTTGGCTGCGAGGCCGGAGCGAGGCGCGACGCGCCCGTAGGTGCCGGCGGGCACGGCGAGCGCTATGTCCGTCTCGACTAGGGCTTTGCCGCGGGAGGGGATGGTCACGGGGCGCGAGGCGTATAGGTCGTAGCCGGCGGAGAAGGGGCTCCCGCGCGTGGGGAGCTTGGCTGTTGGAGAGAGCTTTTTGATTAGGAGGGGGGGGGATGCGTCGAGGTGAGGGACGGGGGGTTGGGTTGTGGTGTTGGGGGGAGACATTGTTTCGGTGGCGTTGGTGTTGGTGTTGTTGGTGGTGGTGGTGGTTGCAGATGTGGGAGTGGTCTTGACTCTTTTCGCGGGCGGTGAGGTCGGTGGTGATGTTACGGATGCAGTAGTGGTCATAATCTTGGGACTTTTAATTAAGTAGGTACCTAGGTAGTTGTATGGTTTAGAAGGAGAAGTCTATACGATGTCTGTTTGAACTGTAGGTACCTGTTTGGTGGCAACTGGGTTTGTGGGAATCGGGTTGTGGCAGTTGCGGTGAAGAAAGATTTATTTTATTTACACTGCAGCGGAAAGTGGGATAGGTATACTTTTTTACCGTACGTAGCGGTGGGACGCGGGTGCGGCGACGCGTTGAGGGGCGTTTAGGGAAGGAGGTTTGATGCTGATTGGCCAATGGCCTGACAGCGTACCTGAGGTATTGGATCATTGACGCCAAGAATTATGTGTGTGTACCCTAGGTTAGGTACTTAGGTATCTACGTATGGATGTAGGTGTTGTCAACCCCGATACATCATTCTTCCTTTCCACCATCTTGGGATTATAGATACATCACAAATAGGAAAACGTGGAGGTGCATTGTTCTAAAATTGTCTTCGGTATTCGTGTAGAATAATGGCTGCCCTTAAAACGCCACTTAAGTTGATCTTTAGGTCTCCTTTTCGAATCGAGTGATTGAACTCAAAAAAACCCCAAACCCCTAATCTAGATATCGAAGCTAATTATAGAGAATATACCTCTTACATGTACCTAGTTTGGTTTCATAGCTACATGTACGGTACACAGTCTGTGCAGTATCTTACAATTGTATGTATGTACATAAATAAATCATGAAACAGGAGGCGAAGGCTTAAACATGGTATTCATTCATCCAAGTCTTTACCGAAGTCGATTAGCCGGAGCTTCGTAGAGTCCCTAGGGTGGAACTGCGCGACTTTAGACCTGACTAGGAACCTTGCAGCTGCTGTCTCCCTAGGGAGCTGGACGTAGGCTGCTGAACTATCACCGTCGGATTGTGCTAAGGCGTTGAGTAGTTCCTCTGTTAAGGTGCGCATCTCCTCACCCGCGGCCGCGGCTTCATCCCGGCTGCCCGCCTTAGCTCTCCCTGTTGGCTCACCATCCTCTCGTATACCCCATATCTCGTCAATGCGTCTCTGTCGTCTATCCTCGTCGGGATTCTCCTTTGCCTTTTTCAGTTTGCCCTGAGAGCTAAATCCTGCCGCGAGATCGGACCCATCGATATCCATGATATCGCCAACGACGGGGCCTCCGAGCTCTTCGGCGGCAAGCATTCCCGCAAGATGCTCGTCGATAAACTTCCTCAGCGCTTTGAGAAGCTTGGAGGTTTCCTTGTCGTAGTACTTTTTCTTTTGCTTCAGCTCGTTGATCCGTTCTGCAGCTATGTCCTCCGGTCCCATCTCCATTCGGCTTTCCAAGCCATCTCGCAATGATTGTATGCGATTGCGCAAACTCTGCGAGAGGGCTTTCTGATCTTCGAGATTAGACTTTTCCACCTCGAGTCGTCGCTTGGTCTTCTCAACCGAGTCCTTATGAGAGGCTAAATAAGCCTTCGTCTCCTCCACAGTCTGGTGGGTTTTGCGGAGTGCTAGAAGAGCGGGCAATACAGATTCCGGAAACGGAAGGAATGGTGTTTGCGATGCCAACTCGTCGTAGGCTATCTTCATGATATCCCATGGCGCTGTTGGGGGATGAGACTGACTTGTGCGATGCGCACTTGGAGTGGCGCGCAGCCCGTTTAGCGCGGCCTCATGCTCCCTGACTCTCTCCTGAAGCTCCCGCACGGTAGCTTGGAGATGGGATGTATGAAACAGATCCGAGTCGTCGCTAAGACGCGCTCCGCTATCCATCTCTTCGTCGTAGTATTCAATGATTTCGGATGCCAAGACAGAGCCTCTAATATTTCGGAAAGCGATACTTGCGATAGGGTAAAATGCGGTTGATGTCTTGCAGCTTGCAGTTCGTAATGAACGTGTCTACGTGTGTATACATATTTCCGTATTGCGGAAAATATGCAGCTAACAGTGTCTAGCGAAGAGCATGGGGTTCAAGGGGGATGCCAAGAAATGCAACGCAGGCCAAGTGCCGATGGATCTGCGGCACAAACAATCCTGAAGCGACTCTTATTGATTGATCTTGATTCTAACGAATATACACGCAATATATTAGTATAATATCTTGGGGAAAACTTCTTAAACCTAACGATATACAATTGGCATTAATAGATTTTCTTTTATCATAAATAATAAAAACTCAAACTAGAATTGCCAGAGTTAAACATCCGAGATAGTAGTAAGAACCTATACATAGCAAGAAAAATATAGACCAACCAAAAAGAATTGGCACTTTCTAGTGTACACGGTGTGTTGTACGACATAACATACGTACATATGTATGTACAGTAGCAGAGTGAGATAGCCGGAATGAGAAGAACATACCTTAGGTATTAATATACAAGAAAATTAGCAAGCAAACACGATAATAAAAAGTACACTACATACCTGTATACATGTGTACCTAACGTATGTATATAGACGAGGCAGACGAATACCATATTAGGTAAAACGGCTCACCGTAATAGCAGAGTGCAGAGCACAGAATAGCAGCCAAATTCAAAGACGCACAGTGGCACTAGAGCCAATTAGATGGAAATCCATGACGCTTTGGACGTTACCTCCCTAAGATTTTGTGTGGAGGAGCCCCATTAGTTACATGTACCTAAGTACCTAAGTAGGTAGGTACCTTTTGCAAAAGCAGTGGAAAGCAACCAAAAATGTTTAGACTGGCACCTGCACATACCGTGCCCACTGTAAGTTAGATCTTTCTTGCATTCGAGTGAGACAACCTTTATGTAGACAACCTCCAACCTACAACACGCATCTCGCCTCCTTCAATTCAATCTTTATCCTCCCCTCCCCCCTTTCCGTCCTTCTTCGCAAGCCGTATCACCCCCTATCGCCTGCGTTGCGAACTTAACACTGCACCTCTTTTTTTTCTGCCCCTTCCCCCCCTTTCTAGTACTATATTTTACGTTTAATTCCCCCATCGTCCCGCCTTCTCCCCCCTTGTTGAGGCTTGTTGAGGTAGTTTCGCAATCAAGTTTCTCCTAGAGAGACAACGGGCTTCTGTCGCTCGTAAAAGCCTCCTTTACTGCACCTATCCGCAGCAGGAAGTGATTTTTATAATCGCTTTGGCGCATCTCAGTTCCGCCTCGAGACGCCAAACGCGACGCGGGTCGACCCTGTCCTCCACCGCCCTATCAAAAGTATTACCTGCTCGAGAGGCAGCTTCTTAGAAAAGGTGCAGGCGTAAGAAGGCATAAGAAAAAGGAAATCGGCATCGAGATATTTGCCTAAGGTGTTTCCTATTTGACGGAGTAAAAGGTTTGAGAACTGACTACGTCTCTGATCCTGCCACCTCTTTCCAATTCACCACTCCTACTTCGTCTACTTCGTTCGTCCTTCCATACTCTACCGCCGACTTGATCACCACATATTCGTCTTGGTCAAGCCAGCAATCCTCTACCTCCATCAAATCGCCCTCAGCTACCGTCAGGTCATCACCATTCTCGTCCTACCAATATTCCGCCTTGCAACACGAGCGTCCAGGTCCCAGCCGGATCTCTCATATCACTCTTCTCGTTCCTGTCGTCACCTAACCTGACGACCCCGATCTCGTTCCATCATCGACCCTACCTTTCAAGTCCGACCTGACCTTTAGATCCCGCATACAAATATTCATCAACTTGAGGGTACTTGAGCCATATCACGTCCCGAACCACTACACCTGCACGTTTTCCTTCGAAAACCCTCAAGGTGTAAATAAAAAAAAGTCGATAATTCAATCTCAATTCGACCGTCTAAACGGCCTACCGTAGCGTCCGCTCAAGAGTGAACAAGTTCATAGAACAAAATGTCTGCCTCACCTTCTCACCCTACTAATCCGGCTAAACGCCCTCTGGAGGATGCCTCCTCTCCTTCCCGGGGCAATGACCAACCCGAAGCCAAACGGCCTGCCCTTGACAAAGTCATCAACAACGGAGATAATGACAAGGATATCGAGCTCCCTGAGAGCAACGGTGATGGCGTCTCGGCACCGGCTGGAACTAATGGCACAACCAAGCTCGAGGATACCAACCAGGACAAGGCTGAGATCAAAGACGACCAGGGCGATACTGTCGTGCCTGATGTTGAGGAAGCCAAGTCCGCCGTAGACGCCGCAGTTTCCGGAGCTTCAGGTGTGTCCGGTGCCGCCGCGACCAACACTCACGATGAGACTACGTGGATTCATATCCGTGCTGTCATCTCCAGCCCTGAAGCTGCTACCATCATTGGTAAAGGTGGCGAAAACGTTTCTAATATCCGGAAGCTATCCAATGCCAAGTGTACCGTTAGTGATTACCAGAAGGGCGCTGTAGAACGAATACTTACTGTTAGCGGAGCTGTCGAGGCTGTGGCCAAGGTATTTAGCCACTGACTAATCTTATGATATTTCTGAACACGAGCTAACATGCCTTTAGGCGTTTGGTTTGATTATCCGGACCCTGAACAACGAGCCTCTGACGGAGAAATCCAACGCTCAGTCCAAGACATATCCTCTTCGACTACTCATCCCTCATGTGCTCATCGGCTCCATTATCGGGAAGGGCGGTGCCCGCATTCGTGAGATTCAAGATGCTTCAGGAGCGCGGCTCAATGCCTCTGACTCGTGCTTGCCACTATCTAGCGAGCGTTCCCTCGTAGTCATGGGCGTAGCTGACGCTGTTCATATCGCTACTTATTATGTAGGAAGCACGCTCCTCCAGCAACTTAACGAACGCTTTGGCGGCCCCGCCGCGTCGGCCTATGCCACTCGGAGTGGCGGTCCCACCGGCGTCGTGCCCGGAGGAATGCAAGTAGTTCCGTATTGCCCTCAGCCTGCTGGTGGCAACTTTGGCCATCGCGAAAACTACGGTCGACGACCCGATCCCCGAGCCCATCACATGCCGCCGACGCCGTATACGCAACCCTACCATCCGCATGCAGCCACCCCGCAACCTAACCCGAGTGTGCCGATGCACTACGCACCTCAAGCAGCTGGATATGGTGCCGCACCGCACATACCGCCTCACCACGCTCCTCACGTGGGTGGCCCTCATCCTCACGGCGGTCCTCCAGCTCAGCCAATGCACGGTGCTGCTATCGCAGGAGCGCCAATGACCCAACAGATCTACATTCCCAACGACATGGTTGGTGCCATCATTGGTAAGGGTGGTCAAAAAATCAATGAGATTCGGACAATTAGCGGCAGCGTGATTAAGATCAACGAGCCGCAAGATAATAGTAACGAGCGGCTAGTAACAATTACGGGAACCGAAGAATGTAACAGGATGGCACTATACATGCTCTATTCTCGACTGGGTGAGACACCTAAAGCACCCCGTGGCCGCGCGTAACAACCGTCAACAGCACTAATCATAACCATGGCGAGCAGAGAGCGAAAAGCACCGTATCTAACGATTTATAAAAAAAAAAATTTATCCCGCCGGCTCTCAGCATCGTTTTCGAGTTTTTCTTGTTGCGTGGGGGCATTTTGTGTTTCAGCACATCGCGTTCATTGTTATCTAGTTCAGAACCTCTTTGATGATGCATCGCCCGGGGAGGAGGAAGGTCACAGGAGAAGGTGGCGTACATGGCTGGATTGCTGGTAGCTTCATGTGATTTTTAGGTAGTTGGGCAATCTGGTCTTGGTCTTGCAAGCGGTAGCTCTGCTTGATAGCGGCAGGCAGGCGGACGTTAGCGAGATGATAAACTGTTTCATCTCATACGATCTCTGCGTCTTTACTAGCAGGTAACAAATACATACTCTTCGAATGGCTATCCAGTCGTCCTATACATCACGTGCCTTGTTACCCCTTGATAACATTCTCATCGTGAGTCCAATGAGTTGTGTATTCATGGCGTAATGGTGGTATATGTTAGCCTAATTACACCAAAATGTGCCAGTTCCATATCAGTTTTTTAAATGATTACTACCAGTCCTGCCATTCTAAGTTTGCGGACATGGGTTAGGTAGGCAAGTACGAAGACGAGTCGACGCCCGTAAGTACGGGTTGGCCAGCCGGTAAGGGGAATGGTGGGACAATATGGCTATTGGCACTTCTATTGCCTCGTATACCAACTAATCGTGGGGATTAGTTTGTCTAGGCCCTAACCGGTATCTAAGTCACCTGTTTAGCTATTCGGAGTGAGTTATTACTACTCATAGGTACCTAAGTAATAAATAAATCGGTGGTCAAATGTACTATGTCTCCCTTTCCTTGGGTATACGGGTATTCCCTAAGTAGTGTTATACGAGTATTGCATCTTGGATAACCTTATTTAGGTTATACGAGTCTCAAATTTTGACAGTATAGCTCAACGGTATCGCCTAAATGACATATCCCGCCGGGTCGAAGCCAGACCTGAGTATCTCTCGACGTCCATCTTTATGAGGTATCTAGTCTAAATATAAGTTACGACCGCAGTGAAGGATTTGGCGATTCCTAAGTAACTATACCTGTCACCACGACGATGAAGCCCCCTAGGCCATTAATAGGTCTCATATACGCACATGCGAATGGATAAAAAGAAATTCAGTTTTTTTCCTTACCAGAAATGAACTTACGAACTTATTTACTCATTAGCGAATCCTTCTCTCCTACAAGTAGCCGAACTGGGATTATATACACATTAGCCCAGTACAAAAGTTCAGCATTGGACGCTAATAATCAACTACCATATGAACGAGTAACGGGATCCTAAGACATACTAATCCAGGTCCTAGCATTTATATCTTATACACTATTTAATTCTAGTAGGTCTAGCAGAATGTCTAATATAAACAAAAGATACCTACCTACCTTAGGTACGTAGGTAGTTATGATGGACTTCCTATAGAATCGGGGCCTGGGACAGGTCTACAAGGACCGGATGCCATATACTATAGTTGTATTGGGCTATTTGGGGAACTTAATCGATGCTTGACAAAGTGTTCGTACGTACGTTTATATAACATGGATTGCGTCACGTGTTATATTAACTGTTATGGGTATGGATGAATCGGCCTTGAGTAGGTTGGTTTCGGATAGAGATAATAATTTGCTCTGTATAAATGGATTGTATGTTACTCTCAGGGCGGCTTCGTTATAGAACCACGGGCTTTTATGGTGGTCTGGTAGATTGCGACTTGGAAGAAGGCATAACTACGCTTATTACTCTATGTATCATGTAGCACCTAACCAGCCCAAGAGAATAGCTAAAGGGTTTTATATCACAAGCAAACACGTATTTAGCGCGGAAAGGGTATCGCGGGAGGAAATGTAATATATGTAGTTGAAATAGTCATATAGAAGCATGCTACCCTCCCCTTTCAGGAGATATTGCACGAGATATAGGAGGGGATACCTAGTCGGGGATAAACTCTGTGATACATGACATATCTCCTGCGTTGCATCCATTGTTACAACCTCGAGTTGCCTGACAATATACCTAAGACGTGATGTACTTATTAACCCTTCTCCATGTAAGTAAGACCAGCTCACATAGGTGCTCTTCCAATAAACCAACGACACACTCTGAGTATACTATGCTGATTGGGTAACACATCATATGTTAGTGTGTGACTGGCAATAGGTAGGTATTATAAGGCGAAGAACGACAAAGTCTCGCATGCTACTTATGTAGTTTACTTGATTCTTCCCAGGACGCACGAACCTTCATCATCGGACATTATATATATACCTATATATATAACGAGGTATATATTCCGTATATATTAAGTATATACAGAAAAAAACATCTTCTTCCCTTACATAGGTTACATCTTGATTTTCCTCAGCCCTACGCCACTACACATGGAAAGTGACCTAGGTACATAGTACATACGTTCTAGAACTCCCACGCATCTCGCTAACCGCCCTCTTCCCCCTATGTATTGTATATAGCCAGCCAACAGCTGAAGGCGGTCAGCGCTGAGAAGACATTTGCTTATGTGCGGCTAGCAGGGGATGCGCGCAGCGAAGGATTCCTCTGGCTTGCTTGGTGAAATTGAATTGAATTGTAGGACCATGCGATCAATCAAATATTGATCGCTTACACCATCCGGCTCAGCTTAGCAGCCGTCTTATTTAGGCGGTGTCGCACACGGACAAGCAAACCAACCTAGGTACCTATTAACTAATATTTCTTCGTCTTACGTTGTACTTTTACATACAGGTTTGCTTTACTACTAGTTATGTACGTACTGTACTGTACCTAGGTTATCACATAGGGACCGGACGGGACGTATGTAAGGGACGTGTTGTGGCTCCCGACAGCGCGGACGGTAGGCTGGACGTGGCCAAGCAGCAAGCAAACCCCAAATTGAGATGTCATTCCCGAACATCTCTCTGCTATTATGGCGGAGTGGAGTTGGGTTCGATGATGACGTGAAGGGCGATGTCACGCAGGTATTACCCAATTTACAAAATTTACAGTACATAGTGTATGTAGTACCTATCTAATAGTTAGTATGGCAATGGGGTCCCAACGCAAAGTCATACCTAGACTCTGGGTCGAGCCAAGAAAGCCTCGCGCAGCCTTACGATGGATCATCTGTCGAGTCGTGTAGAGAAATTAAATGGAAAAAGAGGCTGTTAAGCCATCGAGGGCCACGATGTAACGAGAAGAACAACGCGTGTAACGTAGACTGTTGTTAAAAGCCGAAGTTGCTTTCGGCCCCCTTTTCCCTTTTTCATAGTGTAGGTATCTGGGGAAGAGTCGGATGATTCGCCGAAAGTCCTGGGCTGGGTAATTAATTACATGTATGTATGTATGTAGGTACATATAGTGTATGGTAGAATTATTATTATCATGGTATAATGCATACAAGGTAGTGTATTACCTAATAGCCGCTATACCAGCCTAAGGCTTAAAAGCCGTGCTGCATATTGCAGGAAGTCGCCTTCCTAGATGAGCCCACGGGCGTCAGGAACAAGTTGCCCACGCTCCGCGCAATCCTTTTTGTCAACTTGTTAAATAAGTTTGTTTCAAGCAGCAACTTTATGTGTTAGTGAAATTGAGTTTTTGGATGTTTACGTACGCAGGCAGGCATATATTATTAAGTACCTTAGGTTAGGTAATTATTTTAATATGTATCAACTCAGCCTTGGGCTTCGAAGTAATATAGCAGTATCGAATGCATAGGTGCGCATAGCAAACGACCTACTCGCGCATGTAACCAGCGCTGCACCGTTACCGCGCCTTGCTCCAATTACTCGATTCGATCCAAGCTATTTACGGGTTATTAAATGGGCGATGTCACAACCGACAATCCAGGTCCCGGGGGGGTCAAAAAGCAGGCTTTTTGCATGCCCCTTTCGCTAATTCGTTAGGTTCTGGTCTTCCTTCGTCTTGTAATTTACCCTTTCTAGAACCCATGTAACACATTGGCCAGTCAAATCGGCGGGAGATGAACTTTAGGGGCAGGTGGGTTGCCTTAAAGTGGAGATACAGCACAGGTGAAGACCACTGAAGATATCTTGGCAGACCGATATCCATGTAGTTTTTAGGCAGCTGGAATGTATCTTTTCTTGTTTATTTTGCCTGCGAGATACCTGTCGCGCCATAAGTGAGACACGAAGAGATCTAGCCCGCGAACATGGCACGCCCCCGTCAGCCCGTCCACTAGGGGATCGCCTAGGGAACATACCGTGCATGCGTGCATGACTGGACTGACTGCCAGGTCTTGTCAGGCACATTTGCTGATTTGCTGTGGTATGGGGTTGGAAGACCTCATTTTTACTGGTTCTTAGTGGTTCGGTGGAGAGGATTTAACCAAGTTGGAAGCAGGGTGTCGCCCTGCGAGCTGTGCCTCTCTCAGTCGTCCCCAGTTGTACCTGGTCGATCCCCGGTCAGTCCCTCTTAGTCAACTGAACATCGTTCACCATTTTATCTCACGTCCTCCTGCCCTTTTTCTTCTTTTCTTCTTCCTACATCCAGCCGTAAAACTTCCAAAAGTCGTCTTCAGACTCCCACACTCTTTTTTAATCTTCGCAGCTCAGCCTAGCTCGCGTCCAGCCCAACGGCAACTTCCACTCTTTTATCAATCCGCTCCCTTCTCGGTACCTGTGGTTTTTAGTAATTCCAATTCTCTTCACCAACATCAAGATGCGTTCTACTACCGCCTTCGCCTCTGCCTTGGCCTTTGCTGCCTCGGCCTTCGCCCAGACTCCTGGTTACGCCGTCCTCACTTCTCCCGCCGAGGGTCAGCAGGTCGCCTCTGGCCAGACTTTCACCATCAAGTGGCAGCCTGGCTCATACACTGGCGCTGCCACCATCACCCTTCTCGGTGGTGAGACTTCTACCACTCTCCTTCCTGGCCCCGTCCTCGCAAGTAAGTAAACAATGCTGGTATTGAAATTGTTAATGAGCTGGTATTGACACGTATTTTTAGCTGTTGAGGTTTCTGAGGGTACCTTCTCTTGGACTGTTGACTGCTCGCTCGGCACCGACAAGACCTATGGTATCAAGATCGCCTCCGTCGCCGACTCTGCGACTTTCCAGTACAGCTTCCCGTTCGCCATCGCTGGCCCCTCGTGCAGCACCGGTGCTGAGAGCAGCAGCGCCTCGGTCGCCTCGGTCGCCTCTAGCAGCTCTGCTGGTGGCTACCCCACCGAGGGCTACCCTACTCAGGGTTACCCTACCTTGAGCAGCAGCTCCGTTATCAGCTCGGCTAGCAGCCCGGCTAGCAGCTCGGCTCCTCCTTCTTACCCTACTGCTACCGTCTCTAGCAGCAGCGTCATCGTTACCAGCAGCATCGTTACCAGCAGCAGCAGCGTCGTCGTTAGCAACGCCACCAGCGCTAGCAGCACCAAGGTCCCGACCTACCCTACTGTTGTCCCCTCCGGCAACCTGTCCACCACCGCTAAGGTTCCCACCTACGTCCCCACGACCGTCATCACCAGCTCCGGCTACGCCTCTGTGACCTCTGCCCCTAGCGCTACCACCTCGGCAGCCACCACCATCCCCACTGCTGGTGCTAGCAACGTTGCTGCTGGCTCCCTGGCTTTGGTCGGTGGTCTTGCCTTCGCCCTGTTCGGCATGTAAGGCGGAATCGCATCTGTTTTCTGTTCGCGATGACGTTTTCAATTAATTTGGTTGTTTTACCGGCGAGAGCAAGGGATTGGAGCTAATGAACTAATTGACCACACCGAGATACCTTTCTGAGCGGCATCGGCTGTAGATGTGGACATGTTGGATGCGATGGATATCGTGATACCACCAAATATGTCAATATAAACAGCCTGCTATACCTGAATATACCCATAAAAACTCATTGCTTTTTGTCTTTGTATGCACGTGATATTGAGTTGAAGAATTGTCTGTTCAAATATGTATTGATTCGAAAGGTCTAATAAACAATAGCTGCGTTTTTATTATTTCTATGTTTTGGTGAGACATTATGTAGTTGACAAGGCCATAGGGACGTCGAGGTCAAGACAAGATAAACAAAACAGAGTTGACGTTGTCTAAGGTTCAAGTTCAAGGTTAAGTTTCAACTAAGTCTACCAGTTTTTTACCTAAACCTGCCCGTCGATGTCATATCCACGTGGTGCGGCGCCTGCGTGATAAGATACAACCGATTAAGGTTATCGCACTGCATCTGCAACCCGGGAGAGCGCGCGCCCAATCGCCGTCTCCCCTACAGCGCATCTCCCGAATTGGGAAGCCGTCGACGACGATCGCGAATGCTACTGCTACTTTTCGCAACCGGGTTGGGGATGTGATAAGTATCTCCTCGGATCTCTCCATTAGGTATCTACCTATCTATCTACCTACGTATCTCGCTTGCTTATTGCTACTTTGCCACATGAGACGGCTCGGCGGGGGAGCGCTCGCTGCCTGTTTCTGCTTTATTGGCGCGGATACGGGGGATGCGCATCCCATCCCACGGTCGTCGGTTTAATAGCCTACCTCTCACTCCACTGCCGTACCGGTATTTCGAAACGGGTGTTTGGAATGGAGTTTGCAATAGCCTAACCTATCATCTTTATATTTTGAAACTCTGACTTCTGACAATTAGGACGGATTTTGCTTGTATGAAATTTATAGATTTATTCCATACTGCGCAGCACATGAAAGGGATCCTAAGCCACGAGCATATTCATATTACGAATTCTGAGAGGAAAAAAAAAGGAAAACAGACAAAATATTCCTATTAGATTTCCCTAATATTATACGAAGAGCGTGAGATAAGTCCACCCAACAGATAGGTTCATGATCGGCGTCGCCTCGTATACGATAATAACCACCACATACACCGCAGTTTGGACAAAGCAACTAGTTATTCATTCTTAAATTTCGTATTATTTTGGGATCTACACTTGATAGCCTATCCTATCCTATCTAAGCTCACTTCCATTTCCATTTCCATTTCCTAGTAATCCTAACTAGGTAGCATCCATCCATCCATCCCATCCTACCTAACAAACTACCTAGGTTGGGAGGTACCTAAACTATACGGGTATATACCGAAACACACGCGCCCCAACGCCAGCCCAACTTCCCCCGTGCGTGGGATCGTTTCAAATCAGGTACATACAAATAAAACTCCGACGCCAAGATTTCGTTTAAAGAGATACTTTTTAAGTCCCAAGTGCATGCCAAGTAAATCAGCGCCCGCCAACCTGGCCCTTCGGTACGGGCGGGACCCAGCATAGCCCGAGATTGAGCACGATGGTAATCACGCCGATGACCCAGAACGCGGTAGCGTAGTCGGTCCCCGCGCCCGTGAACCGGAATATGATAGCAAAAATGACACCTCCGAGGTTACCTCCCGCACCCGTGGTTCCGGAGACAACGCCGTTGGCATGCGGATGCACATGCGGCACGAGTGCGAAGTTAGCCCCGTTGCCCGCCTCCAGGAATAGCGCTGCTAGCGCCACAAGCCCGACCATAGCAGACAGACTATGCGGGTTAATCTGGCCGATCACGACGAGTGCGGCGCCGGATATGCACCCGCACACCACGATCCAGATTTTCTTGGCCCAGGCGCTGCGACCCGAGGCCTGGTATAAGACGTCTGCCATAACGCCGCCGAGGGGTCGGGTAACCACGTTTAAGAAGCCGAACATAGCAGCCCAGTTAGCGGCGTTAGTCTGGCCTAGCTGTGGGAAGTTCTTCGTGTAATATGATCCGAGTACGGCGTTGATAGCGAGCTCCCCACCGAATGAGCACATGTACGTCAGAATGTGAAAGGCAGTCTGTGGAGAGAACATCACCCCTGAGATTACGCCCCATGTCGGCTTCTGTACAACCTCGCCTTTGGCTGCCCCTATCATTTCGCCTCGCGACATGACGGCTTCATGATCCCAGTTGGCATGTTTTTGAGGCTTCTTGGCGTCCCTCTCGACCTCATGGATGCTGTTCCCGCCGCTTGAGCTGGCCTTGTCCGTGATGTTACCAGGGACGTCGATTACGCTATCCGCCGGGCCAGGGGCTGCCTTGCCGCCGTGAGAGGCTAAATTTTGTTCAGCGTGGAGATGTCGCTCAGACCATTTGCCGGTGGGTGTATCGGGGCATAGGAGCAACATGGATATGCCGGTGGCAAGCGTTATTACGAGGGGAACAACGAAGGTAAGACGCCACGCTACGCCATCTGAGTAGCCTCGAGCCACAAGGGAGTCAAAGACGGCCGGCATGATGAAGTAGGTGATTCCACCGCCGGCGTTGCCCCAGCCTCCAGTCAGGGCGTTGGCAGTACCGACAACATTTTTGTCGAAGAATCCTGTCGACCAGACTTGACAAGGCACGAAAGACCCGCCAAGGATACCTATGAAGAAACGGCTCACGTAGAGGCCTTGGGCGTCGTGAACGAGAGGAGCTAACCCGAGAGGGATCGACCCGACCAGGAGCGTACCGGCGAATACCCAACGAGGCCCAAACCGATCGCAAGCAGGACCAGCCGCGAATCGAATCAACAGTCTCCAACACGTCAGCTCGGAAAGGGAACGACGGAACCAGACTAATTATAAAACACATACGTAGCACACAACGAGACGATGTTAGAATTAGCAATCTCGGCCGAGGTAAGATGAAGGTTGGCTTTAATGGTATGCGTCAACTACGAAATGCGTAGAGTGTCAGTTACTCGCCTCCTTTTACGTGGAGCCCCCTAGAAGATCGAGAGAGATACTAACCAATGGTGGAAACGTATACCACGCCCAAAATGCAACCATAAATCCCCACCAGGAGAAGAAGAATACACGCCCGTAGACATTAAAGACGTTTAAAACGGGGACGGAGCGGGCCTTACGATTAATCGGGTCGACTTCCGGGGCGGTCCAGAGGTAAGACGGCTTCATCTCGAGCATTATAAGCCTAAGCCCCGAAGAATCTTACGTTTAGAATTCGTAGGTTCTCACAAAGGGGCTGATTGGTTGAGTTTCAACACGCACGGAGTTTATAGCGCTGGTAACTCCTGGCTGGTATAAACTGCAATTTGGTGGGTTGAAAGGGGCGACGTATATACTCCTCTGATCGAATAGCATATACTCCTAGACTAGTGAATGGAATTCCTGTGTAACTGAGCATCTCCGGACGAGTCGTCTCTGAAGCAGGTTTAGAGTAACGGTCCCCACCCCAGGGCTACACAGATGTTTTCCGCGGAATATTCTCCTAGCAGATAAACCTCAGACGTGCCGAGCGGAAACGCCTGATCTAAGTGCTAAGAAAATAGCGTGCTAGAATCGTCCAATGACCGTTGAGATGATTAGATCTATAGTGCCAAGGAGCTCCTTTCTGTTGATGATGTGAGAAAAAGTAGTTACAGCTCAAAGCTGGGTTTGACGGGTCTGATAAGATAGATATAAGCCCCTGGGGATTGACGATGTTTTTACTAAAACGCAACCATTAGCGTATTCCTGATGACCCGGCACGGCATCCTCTGCCTAGCCGCACTATTCTCGACGTACATTCGATAGTGCCAGTGGCTTGCTGACGGAGATGCGGAGATGTTACACAGAGTCGTGATGTTCTCGAATGGTTTTGCCGAATATATACACTGCCGAGTTGAGTTGATAAAAATATAGGTATTCTGACCTCATCAAGTGAAGCTCGTTTATTAATGGTGAACTCGACAACCCGAATACCGAAAAGTGCGACATTCGAAGGCCAATTTTTGTCTCACCGGTATTATAAATTAACCCGGGCACGCACATGGAAGAGAGCTTCTGGCAGCGAATCAGACATGGCATAAAAGCGATAAGTTCCCGTCGTAAAAGCACGTCGTAAAAGCAAGTAAACACACGGATACTCGCACACGCCCAGATGACCAGTCAAGGGTACGACAGCCAAACGCCAATGCCAATGCCTTCTTATCTTATCTGGAGGCGTCCAGGATCAAACGATGGTAGGGCTAAGCCTCACTAGACGATGACTGCACCTAGCCCAGAGATAAGGATGAGGACCGTCAGTGGCCTAGGAGTTCAGGAATAGACCACCGCGTGCGATCTCCGCGGGAACGTGGGCTTGTGTCAGTTCCGGGCTGCCGATTTCTCGAAAGATCAATCCGGGGTAGGAATGGTATCTTCAAACGCAATGCAAACGCAATGCATATATGGGTGGTGCAGCCAGTCCCTTGGTCGCTCGGAATCCGAGGCGTTGGACGAGTCCAAACGACTGGCGCGTTGAAGACGCAACTATCCTTGCAAAATGTCAGCTTGTCAGCATTGAGGTTAGACAAGGAGGGCGTAATTACCACCCTACGAGCGTGGTACGGGACTTACTTGGTCGAATAATTACCTAGGTAGGTACCTAAGGTAGACAGATAAATGGAGATGAAACCCCAGATATTGATCAGGATGACTCGGTGCTAAGATGTTAGTAATTATGAAGTGTAGTATTTCGATTAGCGACATTTGTTACTGAATAGATAGGGATATGTAAGGTATGTAAGCTCCACCAAATCGGATTACCCATCCCCTGTCTCCTTTGTCCCCCACGTACCTGGGACCCTGGGTTGGTACATACAGCTTTGATGTGCATATACCTAACGAAATCCCAAGGTTCGCTTTATCCAGCCTTACCATCAAGAGTTGACAAATCACATTTCAGCCTTACCAATGTTTACTCCATCAGTCCATTAAGCAAACCACAGCCTGTGTGTACCTGCGTTCCGGATATACGATGTAACGATGTTTTCAATCGCGTGGGTGGTCGACGACTGGATACGTTTATTATATGCGACATGGATACACAATTCCTGACCTTTGGGATTTCCGACATCAATATGCTCTCATTTCGAGCTTATTATCCGAAATAAGAGAGCTCATAGGCTAGTATCGAATATACCAGAAAAAAAGAAAACATGAAAGACATTGACGCGAAGTACCCAAAATCACCAATTATATGATGCATATGTGTCGTCATATTAGTGTTTCAAACCATGCTAGGGCTTGCAAACAATGATGCTTAATCTACACCTAAACTTTGGGGTTTTAAGTATGTGCTGGTATGGTATTTTAGTATCGCCGAGCATCGAATGTGGAGTGCTCCTTTAAACTGAGCGCTACGTTTCTTACTTCTTTCTCACCGCTCGGTCTAGGCGATCACGGATGTCGTTGTGTTCCTGCTAAAATAAGAATTTGGTCGGTTCTCCCGCGGGCTTGGACCGAGTTGCGTCTCGGTCATCGTAGCCGGCGTCATAGTATCACGGATCTTAGCCGTTCCTAGGGAATATTCTCGGGAGCGGTACGGAATACAGTTGCGGCAACTCATTTTATTAGCGGATTGGTTATTGGCTACGGATCTCGGAGTATCCACTCGGTAGTCGGCTTCTTAATTGTATGAATGAGAATCTCATTACAGCAACAACCTCGACATCATTCGAACTATTTGTTGAGACTCTCCGTATCAGCGTATTCCGCAGCCGTTACTGATGAGCCGTCCATGAGCCTTGGTAATTCTCACTGCAAGTAACAAGTCTGGTAGGATCTCGGGCCGGCTCGGTAGGGCCGTGTTCCGGTGGTTTAAAGGTTGGATATAAACTTGCTAGGGTTGGAATAGAGAAGCGGTGCCGTTGCCAAGCTGGATCAGAATGCTAGGTAGTTGACGCTTCGGTTTATCTCCTTTTGCATCGGTTGTCGGTTAATAACGTGTAGTAAGATTCGTTCACAATTAAACTTGAATGATGTCAAAGACGCTGGGACTGTTATATTTTTTTTATGGAAGCCGCACCGACTAAGGTATTTGAACGGCTCCGGTTCCCAATGTGTGAGTTCTATACCTGTGGCAAGTCAATAAAGTCGGTGTGATTCCCTTGTCTACCAAATCTTGCCTGTATGTGACTTGTAACTTTCCCTCTTCGTGATAATATTTCTTCGAAAATTGATACTTGAAAATTTCTTGTTACTTGCTGTTTAAAAATATCCCCCCTTTTTTGGAAAACATGGCAGATCTTAAAGTCGACAACTCTCAGAATCCCGAACGGACGGGATCAGATAGTGTACAGACTACCAGGTCCAGCTCTGATTCGACTTTATCGTCTGATATGGACTCTATATTTTCGAGAGCGTGGTGCCATATGTTGGAGCCTGTTCGTCCGTCGGGTTTTGCCGAGTTCGAACTACTTATTCTAACCTTGTAAGCAATTCCCCGTTTAAACCAGAGTCGAAAGATTGAAGAGATATTGGCAACCCAGTAGATATCTATTTCGACTAGCTGGATGGTTATAGTCTCGCGAAATACGTTTAAGTACCTAATGTTAGCTAACATATACTTGCTATTAGTTGCACGGGCATGCAAGATGCCATTTCTTTTCCCGACTACCACTGCTTCGCATCGAACCAGACAGGAAATACGGTTTTCCTCATGCTAGCTATTATACTACCTCATCTTAACGGCGAAATGTTCATCACGGCCAATATTGGGTCAGCTCTGGGTTTCTTCCTCTTGGGTGGATGGCTGACGGGCCAGATTAGCCACCTCGTTGGCACACGGCTAAGACTCTGGCTCGTCTGCTGCAACTTCATCCAGTCGTGCTTGGTATTCGGCGCAGCGGCTATGCAGTACCAACACGGAGCAGGATTAAAGGGTGGCGATGCTGTGGTAGTTATAGGACTTCTGGCATTTGCTTCTGGGAGCCAAGTTGTGCAGTCGCGATCCCTTCAGATGACGGAAATAAGCACAGCGATGGCTACCGCCGCGTGGATTGACCTGCTAATCGATCCTAAGCTCTTCAAGCTGAATAATAGGCCACGTACGAGACGTGCCATGTTTCTCGCGACGCTTGTCCTCGGATCACTTGCCGGTGCGGGTATTTATCGATCTGCTGGGTCTTGGGTGGCCATTTTGGTATCTGCTGCTGGGAAGATGCTTGTGACGGGCATGTATTTATTCAACGGTGCTGATAAACCCAAGACGACGTCCGGTCAAGATGCCTGCTAGGTGGATTATGCCGATATATCATACTGGATATTGAAGAGCGAACATATAGACGGTAACTACCTTAGATACCTCTTAATATACTTAATACTTAATTGATGCTATATGAGTAAGGTGAACTTTGAAAAGAGGTAACGCTCATGAATGGTGATAATTAATAAGAGACAGCTTATACGATCTTATGACCTGAAATAGTAGTGAATAAGATATTGTATTGGGAAAGATTCTAATACCCCACTTTCAAGTGGTGGAAATCTTATATATGCCCTCATTACTTGCTCCTTCCCACAGACCCAAAATGCCTACTTCGTTATATCAAATAATTAAGAGTCGAATCTTATCGTGGTTCTAGTTGAAACTCCATTGAAACTCTATTAAAACTCTACTTTATGATTTCTTAATTGAATGCTTATCTACTAGCTGCGTTGTGCTTATCTAGGTATGTAATAGTGCCATGCATGAATTGTGCATATGTATGGACGGCCCCATAATTGTATCTCGCTGCAAAACGCGGCATTGCTAAATTGAATCACCTGCACGCGCGACTTAGTGTCACATGGTCCAAGCTTTTAGCGTGAATTTGGACTTTCCACTGTAACAGTCAACATTGTCAACTGTCACTTAAGATTACGAAGAGAGGGGACGACATACTATGTCCTATTAGGGTTTCCTTTTTTTGCGGCAATTGATTTTAAAAATCCCATGGAGCTTCTGTGGAACATAGGTTCCAAGGCGCCTTCATGACTCGAAACAATCTTCGCGATCACTTAAGTTGGTTACTTGCGAATGCTGTTCTAACCGCGCCAAACGCGCCTATTCTACCACCCGCCGCTCGAGACCAACCATCCTCCGATATACCCTCCTCTCTCCCCCATTCGACTGCCCGGCGCTCCGAAACGCGTACTAAAGACGTTACTGGACCATCCCTATACCCAATTCTTCCAGACATACAGTCTTTGCACACGGAGCCGCCTGATGGGTCGACGAAGCCGGTGCCGAGATCGCTCGAGGTATCCGGGGGGGTTGCGGTAAGAGAAAGGATGGGACGATTAACTTCAAAATCTGGATCGAAACGGCCTGCTCTTGTTCTACGCCAGGAGCAATTGCTTACCCCGACATCTACAAGCGGAGGCGCGGGGTTAGGATTGGGGTCGGGATCGGGATCCCTTGCTAAAGAATATGCTGCGTTACTAAAGAACTCAGGTTGGATTCTC